AAATTTGCGGGGAAAAAATGAGAAAACAAAAATAATGCAAGCGCGCTCCATGGCTAACAGCGTTCCAATTAGGGACAGTTCGACTCCGACACAGTTCGAATTTCGCACAGTTCGATTCTGCTCTTGTTCTGTTTTGACACATGTTCGATTTTAGGTCTGTTCGATTTTGGAAGCGTTCGAATTCGTCGTACCACCATGGCGTCGTATAATCTCCATGGAAAATACAACCCTTGCATTTTCTTCAAGTTCTACAATGGAATATGAAATTTTACACCCTAAACGGTAAATATAATCCATGCATGTTTTTTGTCTTCTATCAAGGTCCCTTTGCCACTTGTGCTGATAAGTTGATAGCAAAATTTGGAGCTCAAATCTCCTGTATCGAGACTGTGTTCCATGATAGGTTTGAGGTAAGTCTATCTTTAAGCCAATTTATCTTGGTTGCCTTCAGAGATATGAAAAAGCGGTCAACTGATAAATTGTTTATCATATTATCAAAAACATTTCATCAGTTGACACATTTTTGATATCTCTAACAGGATTTGAGATAATTGAGCTCCCTTGTATTGAAACTGCGTTCCACGATAGATTCAAAGTAGGTCAAAAGTTGAAGAATCGCTTTTAAATAAATTTTTTCCGGAATCAAACCAAAAAGTGTGAAGTCTGGGAGAGATCCCAACCATGCTTAGTTCGAGCTATTCAAAATTCTTGTAACAAAACTTTAAGATCGGATAAGTGTTACACGCGTAGTATAATTTTTCTCCAGCATTATGTACTAACCTGTAGCAAGAAATTGTTATTTTGGTGTCAATCTCCAGAGTACTTTCATCACTTTGCATCTTCTATTTTTGATCTTAGAAAATAAAAAATCCCTCGAGAAAACCAGTTCTAAAGTTCGTAATAGTTTGTGGGTGAAATTTGTCATCGGGGTTGGTTTTGTTGGTCTCATTTCTCCTTCTCCTTCGTCTTTGAAAAGTGATCTCATTGGACAACAACACCTCTCGAGACAATATGAACACGCCAGACGCCACCGGTCAGTCATTTTTTACTTTTTCCGATGCAACGTGGTGGCTGTTTCCTGATCTGGGTCACTCTGGCTATGGTCACCATTCCATTTTATGTGTTCCGAGCGCAATCTTATATTTTTCATGGTAATCTTGGATGTAGTTCGGTTGGTGTGACTTCAGTGTTTTCTATTAGAGAAATTTATAATTTCAGGTGTTCCACGAAGCCAATGGTTTAATAGAAAATGAGTATAACAAAAGTAGATGGATATTAAGAAGGCCGGAGTATTATTCAAATGTTTCAAAGAGTTGTCAGGAAGCTGATGTGAGTGTTTTTTAAAGGGGGGGGGGGGGGGGCACCAAAGCCAACAACTTTGAGCTTATATATCTCGGTTGCTATGAGAGATATAAAAATTTTGTCAATTAATAAAATATTGGTGATATTATGATAAGCATTTTGTTAGTTAACCACTTTTTGATAGCTTTCACAGGAACCGAGATATATGAGCTCAAAATTGGAGGTGCGTCTGGTACTCATCCGAGGAAATAGTGTATCGCGTTAGCCAATAAAAACATTGATAGTTCTCTGTACATGAATGTTATCATTCGTTGAAAATAGTTTTGTGTGATCAGAAATCCTCAACTGTGTGATTTAAAACGTTTATTCAAAAATCGACTTTACTCAATTCCCTTGTTTGTGTCATAGGTAGGATGCAGTTATGGGGAATTACAGAAGCCGGAGCATCACTCTGAACATTTTCACTATTTTAGTTATCATTCTTATTTCCTTACCACTTCCAATTCTCCTCTACAAGTCACTGATTTCCACACATGTTTTGCAAAATCCTTATTCAAAATTAAAATGCAATACGGGTTGATGTAGGAAAGGAATCCGTTGAACATTGGATAAATGCCGCGCATGTAGAAAATTGGTCCTGTCTGAAAAATTTGAAAAGTTTGAATCTACCATAAAACCTTTAATAGAAGGGCCCCCTAACTTTCAACTTTGAAAGTAATTAACTAAAAAAATTGCTTATCGTAATATCACAAACATTTTAACAGTGTACCCATTTTTTATGTCTTGCATAGGAGCATTTTTTATCTCTTGCATAGGATCAAACTTGACAGCGTGGGGCCCATCTGTTACAGGTTTTACGCTACTTACATTTTGAGTCTGTGAAAAGTGATTCTGCACCACGTAGTAGATTTGAATAGCGAAGAATGCAATGAGCAGGATGAATACTTGAATTGCGAGAGAGATTTCGTGACGCAAGGATCTGAAGTTATTTTAAGAGTTTTGCAAAGATCAGGCTGAAAAAAAACAAACTTCTGGAGATGTTCAGAATGCTTTTTGATAAAGAAATATAAACCACAGTAGGCTAGAGAACATAAAATGCATGTTATGCTGACAACGATTAGAGCAATTAGAGTGTTTCTCTGAAACATTCATATACTGTAAAACCTGTAATAGAAGAGCCCCCACATTGTCAAGTTTGAGCTTAATTATCTTCATCCCTATGTAAAATATAAAAAATTTGTCAACTGTCAAATTGCTTTTGGTAATATGATAAACATTTTACTATCTGAACATCTTTTGATATCTCTGACAGGAACCTAGATAAATTGGCTCGAAGCTTAAAGTTAGGGGGCCCTTGTATTACAAGTTTTACGATATGGCGTCAGTCAATTATTGAAATCTAATACTTACCTGAAGAACCTCTTTCTCTCCTATCACTCCCATTGTTTCCAAACTATTGTACTTCAAGTATCCGTTTTTCATTAACGTTAAACTGATAAGGATTGGTACTAGCCAGTAGACAAGAATTATGAGAAGCTTCGGAGCTGATTGAGATTTCTTAAATTAGTTTGTTGCAATTTTTCCTGGATTAGCATTACCTTTGTAATCACAAAATATGAGCAATGGTTAGATAACGTTGAAAAGATAGGAAAACGATTCCTGAACATCGGATGTAGAGGGTGAAGAAGATATGACCGTAGGCGACTGAAAATAGAAAAAAGAAATAAAAAGACTTCTATTGGGCTCTAACAGACCTTCCAAGATATAGTAATCTTGATATTTGTAGTAAACTTTTCTGAGAAAAGGCACTGCCCGACCCACATTAATCACAAAGAAGATTAAAATGGAGAACAGGTCTGCGATGCACGGAAAATTACGAATTCTCAATTTTCAGAATTTTTAAAATCTCACATGTTGTAACATAATAGTATAAAAAGTGTTGTTGTAGGTTTTCGAAACACATCGTATTCTCAAAAGGCAAATGAGAACAAGAATATACAAAGGAATAGTGATAATAGACATAACATAAAATACGGCACTAGGCCAGCCAGGAGTTGGGAACAAGATGGAATATATGTCCATCTGGAAATTGATTGAATGAATTTCAGACTTGTTTTTAGAATCAGAAATCTCAACGAGGTCGTTGAAATTTCTTTGAGTAGTGGGTGCAAAAATTACGGGGGCTGACGACAAACGGAGAGCGTAATTAGAGGTTATGATGTCTATGATGAAAACAAGGAAGTCATTTGGGAATCAAACTAAACCCTAGAAAATCATGTGAGGAGTACTCCAATACTAAATTTTAACTTATGCCCACCCTATACGTGCACTTTGAGCTCAGTTATCTCGGCTCCTATGAGAGATATCAAAACTTTGTCAACTGATCAAACATTGGTGATATTATGATAAACAATTTATCAATTGACAAATTTTTGATATCTCTATTAGGAACTGAGATAAATTGGCTCAAAGTTGAGTAGGTCATTATATCAGAATGTTAACGATACATGTCTGAAAAACCTACAAAAGCCGGAAAGCTTAAATTCCAGATGTGTTCTCATGTGATCAAGAATTCTGTCGAACATTCTGGACTTTTGTTGAATGGGCTGTGCCCGTTTTTTGTTTATTACCGCGGCCCATTATTTTCGACATGTGCAAATAGTCTGATAGACAAGCTTGGTCAGAACAATTCGTGTGTGGACGCAGTTTTTGGAATTGGCTTTGAGGTAATTCCATTTATCAAATATCATCAGATAGTAAGTAGTTTTCAGAATTCCACAGAAATATGCAATCAGTGGGACGATCTTCGGAATTGCCTTCGAGGCACAATCGATTCAACCTGTCTTGAAATTCGGAACATCACAGGTGCGATGAAATACTTTGCTATTCTGAAAACCGAATTATGCGACTCAAATTCTGGAAACGCGACGGTTCTAGAAGACGTCGATACTTTTGAAGAGATTCTGGAGGATCAAGAAGTTGAAGTAATAGTTTAGAAAACCATGATACTCACGTTTCTGTAGAATAGAAGACAAATAAATGTACATGATGTATTCTTATGCTTTTCGTCTTCGGCGATTACGTCAAACATCTCCGATTGAATCTCCAAAGTGGCATTCAGAAAATGAAATCGGTCTTTTAACAGCAGGCAGGATCAGCAATGCCAGAGAATGAAAAAACATCAGATTTATCGATCAAGAGCGTTTTATTCAAAATTTTTGATAATTATACTATTGTCTATGAGGAAAAACCCGTACTGAAATCATACAACAAAAATTTAATGAACCAGTTCAACTTTGCTCTGGAACTTTCCAGAAATCCGTTTGATATTTTGCATCCAGACGCTCTCGATTGAATGGGAATACCAGGTAGTCGAAGAAGTAGATTTTGTGAAGATAGTCGCGGACCACAGGATCTTCTCGTACTTGACGTTCAGCTTCCAGCCGGCGTGTAGACTTGTGAGTAGAATGGGCGGTTTCGCCAGCTGAAAATAAATAAAGGTGGTACTGGTGAAGCCCAAGATGTGGGCAAATTGCCGTGAATCTATCAGTCACAGCTTTGGAAGTTTCTCTCTCTCTCTCTCTCTCTCTCTCTCTCTCTTTCTCTCTCTCTCTCTCTCTTTCTCTCTCTCTCTCTCTCTCTCTCTCTCTCTCTCTCTCTCTCTCTCTCTCTCTCTCTCTCTCTCTCTCTCTCTCTCTCTCTCTCTCTCTCTCTCTCTCTCTCTTTCTTTCTCTCTCTCTCTCTCTCTCTCTCTCNCAAGGTAACTATTATTCCGGTAAATTTAAACATTCCCTGCATTTCGAAAAAATCGAATTCTTATTCTAAGTTATTCATCATGTTTTTGTATACTTACCGAGAGATTGCTCTTGTACCATTTGCACCACATTCTCCGACACTCCTCGCCGTTTCATAATATTCCCCAATTGCAAAATCGACGATTTCCTCTCCTCCGCATCGGCACCCATCATTAACAATGTCCACTTGCTCAAGTCTTTATCAAAGTTGCAATTCCATGATAAGGGGGCTGCATGCCAGTCCATATAAGTTGGAATTGGCTTCCAATCTCTATGGTTTTGCAAGTTTTTTAGTGCTTCATAAATTTCTTTGACCACACATCTCATATCGTTTTTGCATGCCCAGCAATTTTGTTCTCTGAAATTTCAGAGTTTGTTTTAGAATATTTTTTAGAATCATACTCACTTGACACACTTATCCAGGTAGAGAGACACAAAACGCTCAATTGGGTCACGGATGAACGCAAAACGGATGGTTTCAGGGTTGTTAAGTAGGTCTTCCGATGGTTTTCGGAATGCTTGATTGTTTTGGCAGGATCTGAAGAAAATTTTGATTGAATTAACTTAAAGGAGAGGGCATTAAAAAGTTGTTCTCCTGAAATGTTATTGATAAAGGCCCCTCAAGGAATTGAGGTCGCTTGTCCACCGTTGAAGCTGTCGCGTCTACCACCTGAGCTACGATAGCGCGAGATACTGATGTCATATATGGAAGCGGCACTATAGCCCAACACCGATCACTGTACACCGTCCCGTCAGAATACATACTCCTTCATACTTTCGCCCCCCCCCCCAAAAAAAAAATCCGAACACTTTTCTGTCTCCACTCCTTTAAAATGATTCGAAAATGAAACAAGACTCTATTTGGGGAATTTGTAATGTTAGATACCAAATATTACTACACTACAATTCGAAAATCGGCATACGTAATCTTGAAAATAACGAATCGATTTTGAATAAAAAGGAAGGCGTACCATAAAACCTGTCAAAGCAGAGCCCCCCACAACTTCTAACTTTGAGTCAATTTTTCTTGGTTCCTGTCAAAGATATGAAAAAATTGTCAGCTGATAAAATGTTTGTCATAGTATCAGAAATATTTTATCAGTTAACACATTTTTGATATCTTGCAAAGGAATTGAGATAACAAAGCTCACAGTTGACAGTGTGAGGGCCCTTCTATTACAGGTTTTGAATCAACATTGACTTTTGTCTTATCTTACCGTATCGTCACCCATGTCTCATTCAAACTATGATTTTCTTGCAAAAACCTTTCTTCATCGTGTAATAAGCACATCGTGTTCACTGTGAGTTGAGACATGGATTTTCGAATTCCACATGACATCATTTTGTAATTAGAGGCTACCTAAAAAAAAGAGTATGATTATAGTTTTTAACACTTGGAGTTTACTTACAAAGAAATCGGAAACGATGTTAACATACGGCTGAATGAAATCTTCCACTGCAAAAAAGTTAATTGGATAATCTCAACAACTTTTTTTTGAAACTCACCTCCTGTGAAATTGACCTCTTTACCATCCAAAATTACTGTATATCTTGCTTCTTTAAAAATAAAACTATACAAGTAAGTGCCTAGAACCAAACTTCCAATGCACAACGGAAAGATGTAGTTTCTAAAAACATTTCAGTCTAAGTTTAAATATATCAGCTCTCACACTCACCTCCAGAACATGGTGATGTTTCAACACTAGACGGAAATGAGACAGAAAAACAGTGAAACGTTCAGAGGCTTCTACTAAATCAGAATTCATTATATTCTTTTTATAATATGGGAATATCTCCGAAACAGATCTTTCTTGTGATGGATAGATGATGATGACAGAAGGAGGGAATCCGAAAAAAAGCATTGGAGGATTAAAAAGCAGCATGCGTTGCAAAGCGGGGTAATCTAGTCAATTCGAAGAATGAGGGTTGTTGAAAACTGTCTGGAAGCGATAGAAAGACCGAAAGTCAATTTTTGAAATATCATTGGGGTGTTTGATGTTGCCATAGAACGTCTTCTGCAATCGGATTTTACCTCTGACACGAAGTCAGCCAGTTAAAGGTGATTCAAGGTGTAAAAAAGTTAAAAAAAAGGTCCCACACTGTCCAGCTAAAGCTTGAGCTTATCTCCATTTTTATGCATGATATCAAAAATGTGTCAATAGACAAAACATTTCTGATATCATGATAAACAACTTATCAGCTGACAAATTAGTTATATCTTTTAGAAGTGCCGAGAAAAATTGGCTCAAAGTTAACAAATACGGGATCCTTCTATTATAGGTTTTACGGTACATTACAATTTTTTGTTAAATTCCATAATTTGTTTCCCATATTCACTAGATGTTTCAGCCGTGACATCTGAATCAAACGTATTCCTGTTCAGACGTAAAACGTTTCTTATCGTCTCGAATCTTTCTGATCTGTGATGAGGGCATACCTGCAATGGCGGATTTTAAGGGAACAAAAAACATGGAAAATTTGAATGGAGATTGGAACATCCAAACCGGAACAAACTGGAACGGGTTGTTGTTGTTGTCGAGCGTTGGATAGACGCTAATACGACGTTTGGAACAATGAGCTTGAGATCAGGGCATTCCTTAACAGGAAATAATGCTTCATGAGACTCATCTAAGCAATGATATTGATATTTATCCGAATATCTGAAAAGTGTTCAATACCCTCAATCGACTTTACCGGAATGACTAAAAGTAAATCTTCTGCTGGTTTTAGCTTGTCTCACAATTTCTAAAATCAGTGTTTAGAGCTTCCTATTAGAGAAACAGCTTTTCGAGTCAGAAATGATATGATGTTATGAAATAACACCTGTAAAATAGTGAAAACTTATAAAGTATCAGTGATGGGAGGAATTTCCGTTTCCTTTTCCGTTTCCGTTGTCCGCCCGGTTCTTATTTTTCCGTTTCCGTTTCCGCGGAAAAAATTACGATTCCGTTTCTGTAAGAGTGAAATTTTATTTCCGTTTCCGTTTCCGTTTTTCGTCTTCCGTAAAGACCGCCATTTTTTTACAGCGGAAAAGGAAAAAAAAATGTAAAAAACAACGAAAACATTAAACTGAAACTGGCTTGAAAAAAAGCATGGAAAGTGATGCAAATGTGGTCTTTCAACGTTAAAAAGTGTATATTTTTATGTTTGATGGGAAAAAAATCCTGAAAAAAAGACGAAAAATAGAAATTTCCGTTTCCGTTTCCGTTTTAGTTTTCCGTTTTCCGCCCGATTTTTGAAGATTTTTCCGTTTTGGTTAATTTACGATTCCGTTTCCTTTTCCATTTTATTTTCCGTTTCCGTAAAAGTTAAATTTGATTTCTGTTTCCGTTTCCGTTTTTTTGGCATTTTCAAAAATAACATACAATACGGAGAATTGTATCTTAACGAAGTATTGTCTGTTTAAAATTTGACCAAAGTCTCTTTAATCATCTTCAAAATGATTTATTTCACATTCGTGATTGTTTTCAGTTTTTTTTTCCAGATAGAAAAAATATCCAAAAATCATAAATATTCCAACAAGAGATTTTTTTTGCGAAAAAATACTTTCACCACTGGTGATATAATTTCAAAAGGAACAGTGTATGAATTTCTTCCAAAGTTTCTATAGGAAACACCGTAAACATGTGGTAGAAGGCCTCCACACAATCAAGCTGATTTTTTACTTGTCTTATATTCAAGATATCAAGAATGTGACAACTGACAAAACATTTCTGATATTATGATAAACAATTTTTCAGTTGGCAACTTTTTCATATCTCAGACAGGGACCGAGATAAATTGGCTCAAAGTTAAAAGTTGGAAAGTCCTTCTATTCAATGTTTCACGGTGTGTAGAATGATTCGAAACAAGAAGATCAATAGAAAAGATAAAATTTGATGGGAGAATCTGTAAAGGTGTGAGAAACCGGCTACGGGAAGAATTTAAGAGAAGGGATTGTCGATCATCCTACAGAAAGATTTTTAGATTTTCTTCGTCTTTGAATTTGATCTTTTGATGTTTGAGGTCTTCCTGGAGCTTCCCGGAAACTGAACAGTATAAACCTGTATTTGAAAGGTCCCTGGAACTGAAGGATCCAATAATCAAAGTTCTCTATGAAGTCTCCCAATGAAGTCTCTCCTAGAGACTTCAGGATAAATAGAAGGGCCGGTCATTTTGATACGGATTTTACGGTAAGTTTTTTATAATATAATAATTAACGATAACAAAATTCTCATCAGATTGTTCGTAATCATTTAAAATTTCAGATCATTGAATATCCAGTCTGAAAATTTGAAGGTGGCTGCTTGAAATCACTTACATCAGAACCATGATCAACAAAAGCAAAGTACCTGGCCATGTTGGAAAGTTACTGTGATTTTTCAAAAAATATCATGATTCGTGATCTCCGCCGAGGTGATTCTCAAAAATGACATAAGCTTCGAACAACCGACTTTCTGAGAGGACGCTTGTTTTGGTGCGGATCTTCAATCTCACCCGAGACATCTTTATTTTTCCCATATTTGAAATATAAAAAATCTACCGTAAAACCTGTATTAGAAGGGCCCTTTTCATAGAAGGGCCCCTCTAATAGAAGGGCCCTCAGAGAGGGGTTTGGAAAAATAGAACGGCCCCCTGTAATAGAAGGGCCCCCGTAATAGAAAGAGCCCCCTTCAAAATGTGTTTTGAAATCAGAAAATTTCCGTTCTTTTTCAGTGGAAAACACTCCGATGAAAATTTTTGAAAAAAATGGCCGGTAAAATAGAAGGCCCCCCCTCTAATTGAAGGGCACGTGTAATAGAAGGGTCCTCCGGAGGTACCTTGGAACAATAGAAGGGCCGGCCCTTCTAATACAGGTTTTACGGTATTTACCTTCCTGGAATGTCGAAAAATATGACATTTTTGAATGACCATGAAGATAGTAAAGCATACTTGCAACGGGCCGGGCCGGGACGGGCTTTTGTTAGAATTTTCAGGGCCCGGCCCGGCCCGGCCTGTCTCGGCCCGGGTTTTCAGGAACAAATTTTTCCTGTCTTTTCAAAAAAATTTTTCGGGGTCAACTGAAAAAATGGACGATTTTTCTTTCAAGTAAAAAACTTTTCAAGATAAAAGTGTCCATAAAAAATAGTTTTTTTTCGCAAAAAAATATCTGAAATTTCAAAAAAAATTCAAATTTGGAAAACCCGGGCCCGCCGGGCCTTAATCAAAACTTCATATTTTAAAAATCACAAACAAATACAAAAATGTTTCAATAACAAACATTACGATCAAGATCATTTTATTCAAATTTTAAGCAATCAATAATGATAAAAGTGTCTATGAAAAAACCCGTACTTAAAACATTAACCCAAAATTTAATGGACCAGTTCAGCTTTGTTCTGGAACCTTCCAGAAATCCGTCTGATACTTCGCATCCAGACGCTCTCGATTGAATAGGAATACCAGGTAGTCGAAGAAGTAGATTTTGTGAAGATAGTCGCGGACCACAGGATCTTCTCGTACTTGACGTTCAGCTTCCAGCCGGCGTGTAGACTTGTGAGTAGAATGGGCGGTTTCGCCAGCTGAAAATAAATAAAGGTGGCACTGGTGAAAGTGATTTGTATACCAATTAATTTTAACAATCCCTATGCTTTACAAAATTCTAATTATCAGAAATTTCAGGATGTTTTCAGAGCTGCCCTCTCCACTTACCTAGAGATTGCTCTTGTACCATTTGCACCACATTCTCCGACACTCCTTGCCGTTTCATAATATTCCCCAATTGTAAAATCGACGATTTTCTCTCCTCCGCATCGGCGCCCATCATTAACAATGTCCACTTGCTCAAGTCTTTATCAAAGTTGCAATTCCATGATAAAGGAGCAGCATGCAATTCCATATAAGTTGGAATTAGGTTTCGATCTTTATGGTTTTGCAAATTTTTCAGTCCTTTATAAATTTCTTGAACAACACATCTCATATCGCTCTTGCATGCCCAACAACTTTGTTCTCTGAAATTTCAAAACGTGCTTTTCAGAATCTCTTTTGGAATGAGACTCACTTGACACACTTATCCAGATAGAGAGACACAAAACGCTCAATTGGGTCTCGGATAAAGGCAAAACGAATGGTTTCAGGGTTATTAAGTAGGTCTTCCGATGGTTTTCGAAATTCTTGATTGTCTTGACAGGATCTAAATAAAGTTGATCGTGTTAATTTGAAGGGATTGGAGTGACTCATCCTATAGACAAAAGGCTACGGTATTTCTAAAAATCTTACTGTTGCGTCGCCCATGTCTCATTCAAATAATGGTTTTCTCGCAAAAATCTTTCTTCGTCGTGTAATAAACACATGGTGTTAGTTGCGAGTTGAGACATCGACTTTCGAATTCCACATGAAATCATTTTGTAATTAGAGGCTACCTGGAAAATGGTACATGACAACCTTATACTCTCACATTGGGCTCAATTGTCTCAATTTCAGTAAGAGATAACAAAAATGTGTCAACTGATAAAATGTTGGTGATAGTATGACAAACAATGTGTTAATTGACAGATTTCGTTACCACTTATAGAAGTTGAGATAATTGGGCTCAAAGAGAAAGTATAGGGTGGCTTTTGAACAGTTACGAGGTAGACAGTCACTTACGAAGAAATCGGAAACGATATTCACATACGGCGGAATGAAATCTTCCACTGCAAAAAAGATAATCACGACAAATTTTTTTTGAAACTTACCTCCAGTAAAATTGACCTCTTTATCATTCAAAAATACGGTGAATCTAACTTCTGGGAATAGAAACCGGTACAAGCCAGTGCCTAGAACCAAAGCTCCAATGCATAACGGGAAAATGTAGTTTCTAAAAAAGTTCAGTTTGATTTCAACTATTTCAGATCTTACACTCACCTCCAGAACATGACGATGTTTCAACACCCAATGAAAATGCCACAGAAAAACACTGAAACGTCCAGAGGAGGCTTCCACTGAATCAGGGTGCTTTATATTCCGCTTTTAAGATTGAAATATCTCCGAAACTGATCTCCCTTCCGAAAAAGGATTACGTAAAGCAGCATGCGTTTCAAAATTGCGTAATCTACCCGATTCAAAAAGCAAGGCCTGTTGAAAGCAGTCTGGAAGAGCGAGAAAGACGGAAAGTCATTCTACCGGCTTTATTTGACTTTCAAATATTTAAAAAATCGTAACGTTATCCTTATTTTCAGATATACCCCTCCCCCCTTTGATCAGCATTGTACATATTTAGGTGGTCCCTTGTATATCGAGACCCAGATTCATGTAAAATTCATTAGCATCGAATCCCTGCAAGTTTAACAATCTAGATTTTGAAAATTCGCAGTTACAATATTTTTGGTTGCCCCACTTTTAACTTTTATAATTCCATCGTAATACAGTTCTGAAGAAACCTTACAATGTATGGATTTTTAGAGGGGCATACACGTAGAATGATTCTTTTCCAAAAGATCGGAACAGATCTAATGGGATGGGAGAATCCTCAATAATGCGAAAAAACCGGCTACAGCGAAAAATTCGAAGAGGAGATAGTCGATTATGCTATAGAAAGATTTTCAGGATGTCTTCGTTTGTGAATCCTATCTTTTGGTTAATCTTCTTTCTGAGGTGTTACTGAGGTATATTATTAAAGAAATGAAGTTGCGTCTCTTCCTCTGCCTGTCTGCACAATTACCTGTCTGTACAATTATGAAAAGCTGGAAAATAAAATATAAATTGACGGAGCCTTTTAAGAAAACGCCAAAGGCGCATCAGCCACCGGATTGCAACGCTGGGAGGCTGGTAAATAACAAAGCTGTCATACTCTACTTTTCGTCTCAAACTTAACCTTGGATCTGTGCTGTCATAATACCTAGAGTTGTGATGTGTTTTAATTCGGTGAAATAACTTTCTTTAGCTTAAAAGTCTGTCAGTCAGACTTCTGATGTTGTGACGTAGGATAGTCGTTTACAATTTATTGGGTATCTCCCTAACCATAATACAAAATAACAATGGAAAGTTTATTTTCAAAAATTCCTTCATGCAGCCTTCGTGTATTCATCAGCACACTCGGAATTACATTTTAAGAGCTCGGGAACCTTGGTGTTGTCGTACTCTGGTCTGAACCACAAATCCACACATTTCGACTCACATTCCAGGAAAGCTCTGGATGCGTCATCTGAAAGTTTTAGAGATTCTATAGACATTCTGTTCATGATCTCACCTATAGGACCTCCAACACACTTTTGTGTGCATTCTTTCACTTGTTCAGGCTCATCAACTTTGATACAATCACCGAAGCAAGTAATCACTGCTGATTTATCTCCGAGTACTGCTGAGAAAGCAAGTAGGACAAGGAAGAAGGAAATGAAAAACTTGAACATTTTCTGGCGAAGATTGAAGTTCAATACTTGTTGGTGAGCAGGTTGGCTTTTATAGTCGTGTATTGTATCAAAATAGTATTGCTATTCAATTTTTGAAATCAAAACATGTCTGGAGATAAAAGATAGTACTGAAAAAGTGAGACAAGGAAGAGGAAGATAACAAGCTTGAACACTTTTTCAATCGAGTGATAATATTACTGGTGGAGAATAGGTTGAAATTTGAAAGGGAAAAGCGGATGATAAGATTTCGACAGGATTGTTATTCATAACTGAATAAAAAGAGATTCTGTTTATTTTGAGTTCGGACGACAAAACAAAGCTTCTTGTCTTGACGTGATGCTGTAAAAGTACTATAACTCAAGTCTGACGGAAGCTGGTTCGAGCGGATGAGCTTTTCTAGATATAACAAGTAGTGATTTTCAAAAGTTTTAATTTTGGGAAAAATATTCAGAAAGTGTTAAAGGTGGTGTACGGTGAAATTTTTTATTGCATCAAAATGTGCAGAAATGCATGTAGATTGATATAAAAATAAAGAAAAAAATCAAAAAAAATTCCTTCGGCGAGAAAAACGCATCGAAAAATACGCTGAAAGCCCTTAGGGACGAGCTTTTTTCTAGGCCGCCCGGTGAGTGAAAGCGCGCGAATTCAAACTTTTACAATTTTTTCGCTCGTTTTCACTGTTTTTTCAAAATTTCCGATGTATCTGGAAGAAAAATTGACAAGAACCTAGAAAACTCTTGAAAAAACCGAAAAAAAAAGTGAAAACGAGCGAAAAAATTTTGAAAGTTTGAATTCACGCGTTTTTACTCACCGGGCGGCCCAGAAAAAACCTCGTCCCTAAGGGCTTTCAGCGTATTTTTCGATGCGTTTTCCTCGCCGAAGGATTTTTTTTTAATTTTTTTCTTTATTTTTATGTCAATCTACATGCATTTCTGCACATTTTGATGCAATAAAAAATTTCACCGAACACCACCTTTAATATTTCTGTTATATTTGTTGAAAAAACACGTTGCTCCCAAAAACTTAACCGTCCATCTTTTGGGAGATTCAAAAGATTCACGTGGCTCACAAAATTTTTTGAAATTTCAGTACTTTGATGTGAAAATTAAAACTTTTGAAATTCACTACTTGTTATACAGTACTGGCCATAAAGAATGCGACAACTTGTTTTTTGACGATAACTTTTTGAAAACTCAACTTTTCAACTCGAATTTTTTACTGTAGACACATTGGAAAGTTACGAAAACTTGCGTACTTGGAAATTACATCATCTTGCAAACAAAATTTTTTTTCAATTGTTTTCATTTTTTTTTTCATTTTGCATATTTTTCATGATTTTTGGTTTTTTAAAATAAAGTTGAAAGACAACTAATTGGAATTAGTTTTAGTTATTGTTTTATTGTTTTTCAGATATGGTTAGACCATTCGGGAAAAAATCCTTCTCTGTGGACGAGCGAAAAAGCATTGTGCGTGGTCATGAACTCGGCGCGCATCCGAAGATACTTGCAACTCAGTTTAGTTGTTCTTCCAGCCAAATTTACCGTATTCTGAAGAAAAATCGAGATGATGTGAGGTTTCAATCAGCTTTCTCAACTAAATTTAACAATTTAGAATGGCGTTGTTCATCGCCAATCTCCAGGAAGACCCCGAACCACTTCCAGAAATATGGATCGGAACATTTTGCGCGCATGCCGAGAAGATCCTAGACGCACATCTACGGATATTCAACTTTCTGTGACGTCTCCAAATGAACCGGTACCATCGAGAAGAACTATTAGAAGACGTTTGCAAGTTGCTGGACTGCACGGACGAAGACCAGTCAAAAAACCACTCGTCAGTTTGAAAAACCGAAAAGCTCGCGTTGAATGGGCTAAACAGCACTTGTCCTGGGGCCCCCGTGAGTGGGCAAATCACATCTGGAGCGATGAATCGAAGTTCAATATGTTCGGAACTGATGGTATTCAGTGGATTCGACGTCCCATTGGCTCCAGGTATGCTCCACAGTACCAATGTCCAACTGTGAAACATGGAGGTGGATCTGTGATGGTTTGGGGATGCTTCTCCGACACTTCTATGGGACCATTGAAGAGAATCGTTGGAACCATGGATCGATATGTGTACGAAGACATCCTGGAGAACACAATGAGACCATGGGCAAGAGCAAATTTGGGCCGATCGTGGGTGTTCCAACAGGACAATGACCCGAAGCATACTTCGGGTCATGTCGCCAATTGGTTCAGACGTCGCCGTGTGAACCTCCTAGAATGGCCAAGTCAATCTCCAGACTTGAATCCCATCGAGCATATGTGGGAGGAGCTGGAACGCCGCCTCAAAGGAGTCAGAGCATCCAATGCCAATCAAAAGTTTGCTCAACTCGAAGCTGCTTGGAAGAGTATCCCGATGACGGTGGTTCAGACGCTCCTGGAGTCGATGCCACGTAGATGCAAGGCTGTTATCGATGCGAAAGGATACCCAACGAAATATTAAATCACTTTTTATTGTTACCTTTATTTTGTTTTTGACCTCCGGTGTTTCTTGAGCTTCTTTGTATAGATCTCAAAAAATGTCATTTTCATGAATTTTCGAAAAAAATTAATTTTCAAAAAAATTGTAGCAGAATATTAAAACCAACTTAGCCTAAAAGTTTTTGATAGTGCTGAAAAAATCTTACCAAAAATTCGGATTGAAAAGTTGAGTTTTCAAAAAGTTATCTTCAAAAAACAAGTTGTCGCATTCTTTATGGCCAGTACTGTATGTATTTCTTTAAGGCTTTATTCATTCTTCCACTGATCGGTTTAAGACGTTTCATGTCTTTATCTCAGTTTTGAAGAAAATTTTAAGACCATCTGAACACCATATTTTATTATTTATCTGTCGAAACAAGAAAATAAAATTGCTGAAACATTTAAATTCTGAAATTTATCAAAACCACTGGCAGCAGTGGGACGGACAATGGTCGGAGTTTGGCCGGAATTCGAAGGCGCTGCTTGTTAAGAGTTCAGAAGCTGGCCGGTAGTTTGTCGGATCTTGGTCGGTTTCCCACAATGTCTTTGCCGGAGTCTGACCAAGCTCCGGCCAGAAGTAACCGGCGACGCCTGAGATGGTCCTCGTCAATGGAAAGGTGGATGGCAGCTCTGACAATTTTGAATTTCAATGTTTTTGGTGCAACTTTGCACAACTCACAAACCATACTGCCACAAAATATTCTCATTCATTATTCCATTCATAAAGTTCAGATTGTTAACTGAATCCTTTCATGCTTTGTTTTTAAACCAATTTTTGAGGATGAGTGAAACAATATACAGTCAATAATATAATATTACAAAAACGTATCTTTCAGCTGATTTTCAGCAATTTTGCCCATAGTTGCAACATCTCGGGACGGCCCGGCCCAGCTTGGCCCGCGAGTCGGCCTGTCGAGAATTTCGGCGGACCGGGCCCGGGTTCCTACAGACCCTGATAGTTTTGAATTTTTTTCAACTGTGGGAAGCGGGCCGGCCCGTTCCAACTTTGATTTTGACTGTTTTCACAAATCTGGATCTCGGCTGTCTTTCCGACCACTTGGAAAATTTTGAAGGGTGTAAAACAGGCTCAAATTGAAAACTTTGCATTTGCTGAGCTTTTTGAGAATTCTTATTTTTCAGCTATTTGGCGGTTTCTGAAAGACATCTGTTTTTCACATTTTAGTACAAAAACAGGCCAAAAGGGGTGCTTTTCAGCAATCGGCAAATAGCTGGAAAACTAGGAATTCCCCAAACTTCTGTGAATGCAAAGTTCTCAATCTAGGTCTGTTTTACATCCTCCAAACTTTTTCAGAATCTTGACAGCAGAGATCCAGAATTCTGGAAATGATCATAATCGCAGAAAATCAACTTCGGTACTGTAAACAAATGAGATAATTTTAAAATCTTTATTCCCAGAAAAGATAATAATGAAAAGTTTATTCTCGAAACAAAAAATTATTCATCCACTCTTGAATGCATCCGCACACTCAGTGTTACATGCCACAATATAGTAATCGTTGCTGTTATCTTTCCCCTTCTCGAAAAATGAATCCACACATTTCGACTCACATTCCAAGAAAGCTTTGGATGCATCATCTGAAATTTTTATAGATTTTATACAGATTCTGTTCACGCTCATACCTGTAGCATCTCCAACACACATTTTTGCGCATTCTTTCACATCCTCTTTGTCTGACTCAGTATTCTTGATGCAATTGCCGAAACAAGCAATCGCATTGTCAGCATCAGAGAATGCAGACACTGCGGAGAAAGCGAGTAGGACTAAGAAGAATGAAATAAAAAGCTTGAACATTTTAAGATTAAAGTTCAATACTTGTTGGGGAGTCGTTGGACTTTTATAGTCAAGTCTTGTATCAAAATATTATTGTTGTTCAATTATTGAAATCAAAACATGTCTGGAGATAAAAGATTCATTGATACCGATTCACTATTTGCACAATCAAAATTAAAAATAGATAAAAACAATCAAATTCAAATTCGAATCAGGTACAAATTGTGCAGACACAGTCTCCAGTGATACAAGTAGCAATTTGGCAATTCTGAAAAATGTATCAGCTCTACAGTAACCGGAATTGTTAAATCTCACCCGACAGGAAATATTTTTGCACATCCAATCTCCAAAAAAGCACCAAAAGTCAGCAGATGCGAGATTAATTAAGATAGTCAGCAGAATAAAAAATAAGAAGACTTTTGAGAACATTCTGCTGTAAAAGGAAGTTTTGTATATAAGAGAAAAATGAAAAAGGATCCTCTAGTTAAAAGGTTTGACAATTTTCCACTTCAAACCGTTCGATCCCCGCCCGATTAAGTAGTGCAAAACTAGTCGAATTGGCGGACATCATTCGGGTTTATCCCCTTGTTCGTAATAATCGAAAATCAAAAAAATGCGCAAACAATTATTTGTGGGCGATTTGAAACTTTGGATGAGTCAACACGAATTGGAATCAAAAATCGCTGGTGATCCTAACAGAGGGTTCAGCTGAATGACTAAAATTAGAAATGAACATCATAAGTCACAAAAATGCACCTGGAAGTTTAGTTTAGTTTCTATGGTTTGTAGTTTCTGAGAAAAAAAGGGTTCTGAAGTCTTCAGGGTGGGTAAAAAAGTTGCCGTAAACACTCTAATAGAAGGTATACTTGCTTTTTGAGCCCATATATCTCGGTTTCTGTAACAGGTATCAAAAAGTGATCAACGGATAAAATGTTTATTATAGTATCACCAATATTTTATCAGTTGACAGATTTTGGATAGCTCTCATTGGAACCGAAATAAATTGTCTCAAAGTTAGAGTATATGTAGGTACTATTAGAGTGTTTACTGTAGTTCTGAAACATTCATTGATGCGAAGTATCTCACCAGTAAAGTACATTTAGTTAAACCTTATTTTTTCCAAGCACCGATACTTTTTTATAGACCAACATTTTTGTATGGACCCCAATTTCTTGAGAACCAAATTTTCTTTTATGATGAAAATTTTATAAGGGCCAAAGCTTCTTTTAGGAACCGAAAAATTTTTAAAGAAACAAACTTTTTGAATGGGCCAACATTTTTTAAAGTCCGAAATTTCAAAATAGAGCCAAAATATTGAATTTGAAAAAAAATCGAGGAACACTGATAAAAAAATTGAATCCAAGAATTGAAATATCCGAACAGAATAACTCCTTGTATTTTCTACTTCCTCTACCAGATTATACTGCCCTCTTGTTATTGTGGCTCAGTCCAAAAATTCTTGACAAAAAAATTTCCAAGAAAATATTTTCCAGGCGTTCCTTTGAACTGGAAACAATCGACCACCTTCCCATTTTTTTGATGTCTGTTCCCTATTCCGAAAAAAGTATTAACTTGATTTTCAGTGTTGCAGCCTATAACTCAATTTTCGACTTTTATATTCTGAATCAACGATTTTCGTACCTCACAAACCAGGTGTTTTTTCACAATTCGTTTTTTTCCTCCAACTGCAAAAAGTATATCATCTGACATTCAAAGTAGTCATTTTAAAGAAATTGGAAATTCAGAAGAAAAAGTTTCTCGAAACCAGTTATTATCCCGATCTTGTGCTCCAAACATTTTGATATTATTATCACGTTCATTCTGTTGTTTATGCTATCTGGATTGAGGTTTTCAACAATTCTCTATTTATTCAAATCCTCCTTTATCTATTTAATCATGTCTATTATTCTAGCTACCCCACCTAGTTTAGCACTAACCGCATCAGATTTCTTCGCCTCTGACTTATGCACAGTGAATTCCACAATCAAAAAAGTTTGTCTAAATGACACGATATCAAAACTTGGAACATGTTACGAGGACTCATGTTGTACCAGCTTCGAGACCGCAACATCATGGCACTACCGTATAGCTCAAGGATCTCACGTAGTGTTCAGCTGTCTTGGGATAATAGTAATTGCGATTTATGTATTGAAATATGCATCGAAACATATGTTACCTACAAATGTCAGGGTTCTTGTTTCCATTATGTTGCTTTTGATGTTTGCCCACTCCATTGACATGATTATGATACATGTGAGTTTTGAACACAGGGAGCAGCTAGACCATCTAAATCTACTTTGAAACAATCATCTTGGTTCCTCTAAACGATATCAAAAAGAGGTTCACTAACAAATTGTTTATCATGATATAACCAATATCTTATCATTTGTTACATTTTCGATATCTTTAGAATGAACCCAGATAATCGAACTTAAGTGAACGTATAGGCTTGGTTTCTATTAGAGCATTTACGGTGAACCAAAGTACGTTTGAAAGTACGCTCAAAAAGTTTGAAGCCAGATATTAACTTGGAATTCAACCTTTTCAACAAGGAAAACAACTTCGAATAAAGCGATATTTGTTGGACTAAAAAATCAAAACCTTAATGGATGTGGGACCTTAGAAAAATAACTTTCCCCAAATTCCGTTCGTATAATCTCATCGAGAAGTTGATCTTGTGGACCCAACACTGGAGGTGCCGCGCCGCTCCCAGTTGAGCTATAGTGGTGCAAGCAGAGGCGACCGAAAGATGGGATACCGTAAAACCTGTAAATAAAGGGTTCCTTAATTTTCAGCGTTAAGCCGATTTCTCCCGGTTTCTGTCGAAGATATAAAAAATGGCCTACTGATAAATTGTTTATCATAATACCAAAAATGTTTTGTCAGTTCGTTAGTTGTTTTGCATCAAAAAAATTTTTTCAGAGATAGTTGAGCTCAAACTTGATAGATTGGGTGCCCTTCTATTACAGGTTTCAGGGAATATAAAATGGCACGATAGTAACGCGCTTTGTGAACGTTAAACAATGTACTTCGCCACGTCAAGGTTGACTTCATCAAGACATGGTTTCAGGTCTACCACATTTCCAAATCCTTCCAAGCCATCGCAACCATCCCATGCTCCGTGAGAGTTCAAGTCTCCTTCTGTGCTCTTTTCCGCTACACCTTCTCATTCTGCACATTGGGTTTAGCATTCTGTCAGTATTGTCTTTACATTGACAGGCTTTTCTGTGCATTGTATAATAACTATTCAAAGTATCAAGATGTGATTCAGTACGTGCTAGTTCTGAAATGGGTAAGTCTCTGTCTCTGAAATGGCAAAATCTTATTTTTATTTTTTTCAGATTTCTATGACTGCTGGGATCATTGTTTGGGTTTATCGAGAGGAAGACTCGGATTCATATCTCCTATCCTGCCTGAACATCCCTCTTGACTCAATGGTAGATCTCAGTTTTGTCACCGCCGCTGTGTTTCCTATCAATATTGTTTGTTGTTTTCTATCAGTGATAATGTTTCGGCATTTCAAGAAAAAGGAGAATCGGTAGGTGTAAGTTGGGTTTGATCTTCTGGAATATTGGTACTTGGTCCAAAGAAGGGGAGAAAAAACTTCAAGGAAAAAGGTTTTGCGTAGGTTGCATGACATAAGGAATGACATAAATCACAGTGTAGAACTTCAAATTTTCTAGAAAATGAACGTTTCAGAAGATACTTATTATATCTGTGTTCAGCTAAGGAATTGATAATTGAAGAAATACTTAAAGATCATAACTTGAAGAGCCTAATTGAACCTTCAGTCCCGTATGTTTGATCTTAGTAGCCTTCACGAGTTCCTGGAAACCTGGAGTGCCTAGAGGGAACAAAAAACATGTTGACGTTTGTATAATATAACATTAGCAAGATTGGGTGTTATTTCTGTTTGACGCCAAAACAAAAACTTGATAAGTTGAACTTCAGATTTCCTGGTTTCGAATGATTTTGAACTCTGTAAGGATACTTTAAAGGCGGGGGAAGATTAAAAAAAACTGTCGAAGTTTTGTTCATATAAGCCTCTCGAGAAGTTGAACTCGTGGGACAAGCATTGAAGGCGCGGCGGCGCTACCGGCTGAGCTACGGTGGCTCAAGATGAGCGGGTCTAATGATGTGGCATATATAAGCGGCACTAAGACTTCCATTCGGCCGGGAAATTTAACAGACCGGCCGATCGGTCGGCTGTCGATCGGCTGGGTCGGCGGTCAATCGGCGGTCGCCGATTTTCCACCAACAAAAAATCTAATTACTGTACCCCGTCACGTCAGAATGCGTGCCGTTCCTACAAAAACAACTGTTTACAGAACCCGCTTCGAACTTAACAGCCACTTCACTGCCGCCGTTGACGTCGAGTCTTCTGAATTCCTGTACATCGTCACTATCAGTCAAGCCATTTTCATTGTCATTTATCCAGTACTATCCCTATCCATGAGATTTTTCTACGAGGACACACCCAGACCCCTGCACTTGACTTTTGCCACTCTTTCTTATGTAAGAGCATTTTTTCGAAATAATCATTATCTCGTCTTTTTCAGGTATTCAGCATATACTGTTTTGTCATTCCATTCGTTATGATTGACTATGGCAGGAAACGGGATGATACCAGGAGGACAAGGATTTGGAGTCATGTTAAATTGAAATCAGTTGGAGCCGAAGGAGCCGATAATTATTTTGGAATGATGAAATCTCAATGGGAGTGATTTTTATGTAGACTGCAATAAATTTTTTAAAAATTTTTATTATACATAAAAATATTCTCAAATTAAACAGTGTTAATTTATTTGTTTCAAAAATATTTATTTCAAAAAGAAATGGTAAGATCCATCACTTCGATGTTTTCTTATTTTCAGTCTGAACAATGCTTCAAGTGCATGAATTGTCTGCTCTCAGTTTCAGGAATTGACAGTTATCTTGAACGTCACACTATAGATCCTCCTGGCTGATCCTGGTTCCGAACTCCATCTCCAGCTCTTGCTGACCCTGGCTCCTGGCTCCAGGATTCACTTCATTATTTTCAGTCTGAACCATCGGGAATCACTTCAAATGATTCTGTCATCGCACTGCATGAATTGTCTGATTTCAGTTCCAGGAATTGAGAAAAATTATCTTGAATTTCAAAGCAGATTTCTTCGGAACAACGTTTCTAGATTCTCCACTAGCATTTCATCTTGCCCCTGATCCAGTTCCTCCTCCATGATCCGGGTCCCATGACCCGGGCTCCGGAACCTGGGCTCCAAACCCGGGCTCTAGGGCCCGGGCTCCAAGACCCGGGCTCCATGACCCGGGCTCCATGACCTGGGCCCCATGACCCAGGTCCCATTACCCGAGCTCCAGGACCCGGGCTTCAAAACCCGGGCTCCAGGATCCAGACTCCAGAACCCGGGCTCCAGAACCCGGGCTCCAGAACCCGGGCTCCAGAACCCGGGCTTCAGAACCCAGGCTCCAGGACCCGGGCTCCATGACCTGGGCCCCATGACCCAGGTCCCATTACCCGAGCTCCAGGACCCGGGCTTCAAAACCCGGGCTTCAGGATCCGGGCTCCAGGACCCGGATCTCTCCACCTTCTCTGGACCCCAGAGAAGGCGAGAACTGATTCTTCTCTCCATTTCTCTCTTCATTAATAGTGTTCTTCCTGAGGTCAATGGGCCACCGAGGGTCGTGGGTTTTTACGTCACTTTTTTTGTGGATAATTTAAATTTTTTGAATTGTTTCTTGCCACGTGGATTTCTCTTATGATCAAATAGATACTTTCGTCATGTTCAAAAAACAATTGAATTATCACTTTCAAAATTTCCGATACTCCTGTAAAAAAGTGTGTCCCTTTAAGTCTAATTATCTCGTTTCCTATTTGAGATATCAAAAAATGTTTAACAAAGGAAATGTTGATTATCTTAAGGCAAACAATTTTGTTCTTGAAACCTTTTTGATATCTTCCACAGTAACCGAGATATACTTTGTCAAAGTTGAATAGACCCCACACTCTAACATTTTAAGTTTGAACTGATTTATCTTGATTCTTGTGAAAGATATAAAAAAAGTAGTCATCTGACAAAATGTTGATTGTAATATTAGCAACATTTTGTTAGTTGACTACTTTTTGATATCTTTCACAGGAACCGAGATAAATGAACTCAAATAAGAAGGGGGCCAATTAGCCTTCTGCTCACATTCGAAACATTCGCATAAAATTTTATTCTTCTCCATAAAAAAAAGAAGAAAACAAAAAATATCCTTTAAGAATCTAAATTTATTCCCATTGCGACTTCATCATTCCAAAATAGTTCTCTGCTCCTTCGGCTCCAACGGATTTCATCCCGACGTGACTCGAAATCCGGCTTTTCCGATTTTCCGACGTTCTCTGTACATATTGAACAATAACCCAAGGCACCACAAAACTGTATATACTGAAGATCTGAAAGTTTGAAAAGTAGTGATGTGGAACATTCTGGAAGGTTCCATACATAAGAAAGTGTGGCTATAGTTAAGCCCACTGGTCTCGGAAGACTATTATAGACCAGTCTCATTCCGAGGGAAGCAACTGAAAATAGTGCCATAATGGCTGCTTGGGTGCCAGTGGTACGGTAAAGGAATTCAGATGACTCAACGTCGATGGCAGCGGAGAAATGTCGAACGATGTCGAAACGACTACTGGAGCTCAAATAGAAATGGTTAGGGAAAGTTATGGAAACTCAGGGAGTGTCCGTCCAATACGTGCACTTTGAACTCAATTTTCTCGGTTTCTATGAGAGCTATCAATAGCCTGTCAACTGATAATTTATTTATCATATTAACAATAAAATTTTATCAGTTGAACATTTTTTGATATCTCTTACAGGAATTGAGATAATTTACCTTGAAAGAACATCACTGGGGTTGCGTTCAAAAGTCGGTCAGTAGTGTGCGACCTCGCAGCTCAATAATCTGGGTTCCCATGATAGATATCAGAAACTTGTCAATTGATGAATTGTTCATCATAATATGATCAATATTTTATCAGTTGACAATTTTTGATATATGTTACAGGAACCGAGACAATTGAGCATGTATTTATTATGTTCAAAGCTCACCCCTCTTCCTTCCTCTTAAAATGCCTGAACAACCCAATTGACAGAAAAAAACACACAAAGTTGATGGGAAATATGGCTACTGTAGCTTTAGTCATATCCATTACAGATGCTACTGGAACATTCAAACAGGATAAGAGATAGGTATCCGGTTCCTCATTTCGGTAGACCCAGATGACTATGGAGGTTGAAAAAACGACCTATGAAAAAAATTCAGTTACAGGAAGACAAATAAAATTACCTTACCAATTGAACCAATTGAGCTATTAATATGAACCTTTGATTCTTGGAGTACTGCTTATAAAATGCACATGCCAACCTATCGATATAAATGCAGTATGTGCATATAGCCAGTGCCATTGAGCAGAAAGCATAAGTGTACCGAAATGGAGCACAAAACGAAACTTTCTCTCTTATCAAGCAAGGATCTGATGGAGACACTTGCAAGGATCGTATAATATGGTAAAGCTGAAAGTTTTTTTGTTCTAATTGGACCTGAAAATAAAACTTACATGTAACAAAATCATATCTATAGAGTGAGCAAAAATCAGTAAGAGCATGATATCAACCAGTACTCTGACATTTTCAGGTAAGATATGTCTTGGTCGATAACTGATAAGATACGTGATAATGATAACTATGCCAATTCCGCTGAAAACCACATGGGAAAATTGTGCCATTCGGTAATACCAAGATGTAGCGGTCTGGAAAATTAGGAGCTCCAAAAATGGGTCTTAGGAAGCTGACTTTAAAAATTAGCTCACTTCGAAACTCATACAACACGAATCCTGGTAGCAAGTCCCATTTTTTGATATCCAATCATTTTCGCACTTTTCAAATACAGTAGGAATTACAGTACACAAACCTGCTTCGAACGTTTCCATTGGTGTCATAGCCTGAACATGAGGGACTAGTATTTGTGAGTATATTGAGAAAACGGGGAATTACGAAAAACAAGTGAGGGTGAAAATAACAACAATGTGTTCATATTTTTGGGATGAAGAGGGGGTGTTAAATATAATGATCGAGAACACAAAATTTTGAATTTTAGATGACGTGAAGTTCAAAGAATGTTTAGATTTTCAAAGAATTAGTCAAGATGAAGAAATCAACCTATTACCTTGAAACCTGTAACAGAAGGGCACCCTAACTATTAAATTTGAGCCAATTTATCTCGGTTCCTGTGGTAGATATCAAAAAGTTGTCAACTTACTAAATTCTTGTCATATTGTCACTAATATTTTATTAGTTGACAAAATTTTGCTATCTTGCATATGATATGAGATAGGTGAGCTCAAACTTGACGGTGTGGGGGCCCTTCTATTACAGGTTCAACTGTAACTTAAATTCCAAAAAATACAAGAAAAACCTCAACTAAAACCAAGAAAACAAAAAATCGAGAAATGAGAAAGCTTGTCTGCCCGGAAAAACAGCTGAAAGCGTATTATGTGTCAATTATCTTTGACTCTTATGGTACCCCAATTCAGCTGTACGTCTAGAGAATATTGAAAAACAAGGACAAGTTATATGATTAAACTGAATTGTTATTTGGCCACCCGGATATAGCATATTCTTGGAAAAAATAAGTCAAGAAGTCTAAATCTATACTACCCGAGACATAACAGTGAAGGGGGAAAATTTAATTAGTTTAAGGTTCACTCATTGGTAATTGAATGAATTCGGGTTACGTGGACTTTGAGAAGTTTCGAAATTCAATCAGGTCGTATGAGTTAGTGACGGCAGAAAACGCAGAGAGTTATTGGAAACATGGGTGGTTCAAGAAGTCCAAGAGAGGCCCAGAAGATCAATGTAGCTAACGAACCCCAAGTTTTAACTTTGAGACATATTTTCTCGGTTCCTGTTGAAAATGTCAAAAATCTGGCAATTGATAAATTGCTTATCATAATGTCACAAACATTTTATAATTGACAAATTTTATATATCTCTCATAGTAACCGAGGTAATTGAGCTCAAAATGCACGTATACTGTTGGCTTCTATTGGAACATTTCCGGTATAACGCATCATTTCAATTAGAACTGCAAATGTTGGATAATAATATCATTCTGGTCCTAATATTTTTTGCAACATTTCCAAAATCCAAACGTCACAACATCAATTTCGTATTTACAGCAAAAAACTATTCCAAATCAGAATCAAATATGTTGTTCCACACCATTGAACCAGAGCACTACATATATTTCTTGGACACAAGATTTCTGCAAAAATGCTTTCGAAAAGTTCCAGAACTTATCACAAACTACAAACTACACTAAATTTGTTTTCAAAATCAAATAATCATTTATCAAACCATTTCAACATGTAGGTATCAGATACAAGTTTTCGAATAGGAAAATTTGGTATGAATCCGTGGATCATTATTCCAATATATTGCATTTCCGAGGCATTCTTCTGGACGATGTGGTAGACGGAGAGAAGTTCGTTGAGACGGGATGGAGCATTGTTTTGGTAGGTCAATTGACAATATTTGAAAAGAGCGGACACGTAAAATCTTTGACGAGCAGCAAGAATGGATTTGGCTTTATCGGAATGAGCATCAGCTGGAAAACAAACGTGATAATGCTCTAATAGACCCTCCTAACTTTGAGCCAAATTATCTCGGTTCCTGTGAAGGGTATCAAAAAACAGTCCACTGATAAAACGTTTATCATAACATCAAAAATGATTTGACAATCGACTACTTCTTGATATCTTTTACAGGGAGTGATTTACATAGTCTCAAAGATTGGAGTGATCACTATATCTAAAATTCCTTACCGGAATTACAAAAGAATATGATATTGAGCAAAACGAATTCCTCATCAGTCACTTTCAACTCCATCAATCTTGCTACAACTTGACAGCATATTCGGTTGAGTAGCTCCGCTGATGCATTGAATTTAGTAACCAGAATATCCGGAAAAATATCATGGCCACTGGGTGTCACCATTTTCTCTCTGTGCTCTTTACAAGCTCGAACTGCACCGCAGAGAATGTTAGATTTGAATGTGTTAAATTGAAATATAAGTTTCTGGAATAAAAAAAAATGAAAATATGGTTTGAGAGAACAAAAACCTTATCTCTGGACTCCAGCTGTTCTTGAAGTCGAAACTTCGAAAGTGGTTTATCACACTTAAAATAGCCGTGAATGACCATTCCACAGGAGTTATCATCGATCTCTAAATACTTATGATTTAATGGGTATTAAAGTGATAAGAAATAGAGTGGCTTAACTTTCTCAACAGGATTTTTCTAGGCCCCCGTACTTGATAGACCTAGATTTTTCATTTTGGTTTTTCTAAGCCACCTTGGTAAACAGTGTGTGACTTCACAGGTAAAATGCGAACGGATCCGTTTCGGTGTAGACTAGGTTTTCTATCCGTAACGGGTCCGTTACGGGCAGTTTCGCGAATCTGAGTTCGCGAACGGATCCGTTTTTTCAACATTCGCAATCGGACAGGATACGGAGTTCGCGAACGGACCGGATACGGATGCAGCTGGAGGTCGAGAGATAGCTCCCATGCCCAGTCGCGAACGGATCCGTTCCGGATGGCCGAGTTGTGAGGGACTAGCTTTCTCTTAACTCTTCCATCATATTTTTGCATCTTTTTTTTGTATTTTTAATCTATTTTTGCCGTTTTTTCCAACTTTTCTCGGCAATTGAGTCGATTTCTGTCTATCAAAATTTTCGAAAGGCGATTCTACGATGAAAAAAGGTTTGTAACACAAAAGTAATTCTTCGAAACATAGGGTTTCTTATAGGTATCACTTAACCTCTCCGTGAGCAAAAGGAACAAAAAATATTGATTTGATGCTCACTTTTGCAGAAAGCAAGTTGCTAGCTTAAGGTAAGTGCAAACCACATTAGTTTTCGAAATAGTGACTTTTCAAATTTTCAGCGATGGACATCTACTAAACATCTACCGACCAAAACGTTGGAAATTGGACAATTTTCAAAACCCGGAAAACAAAAAATGTAACTAGTAAAAAAATGTAAAAGTAAACAGTATGCTGCATTTTCGGAAAATTTCCCTTTTTTTTCAGATTGCTCTTGTTCCGGCTGATCGTTCAACAAAAAAAGGATTTTCATAGTTTCTCGAACTTTGTTGTACGTTTGATTGTTGTTTCTTATATGTTTTCTTAATAAAATTTCGAATACTAAGTCTACAACTATCATGAAAACTCAGCAAAAATTAAGAGAAACTGAAAAAAGGAGTGGCGGGGGTTTTCAAAGAATGAGTCGGAAACGGATCCGTTACGGATTCGCGTACGGTCCGTATACGATTCCTATTTCATCCGCGAGCGAATGGCGGAGAATCCGTAACGGATTGTTCGCGAATCACCTGTGTTCTAATTTTCACTTACCGGTAACGGCTATTTTGGTAATTTTACCGGTAATTTACCGGTAACCTACCGGTAAATTTGAAAACTACCGAAAATTTACCGGTAATTTACCGGTAATCTACCGGTAAATTTGAAAACTACCGAAAATTTACCGGTATTTTACCGGTAAAATACCGGTAAATTACCGGTAAAATTTTTATTTTCCTCGAGGACTACACGAATGTTTTTTCCTGCTGTTTCACTAGTTTTTTGACAGTTTTGCAACAGTTCCGAAATGGTCAGTTCTAAAACGTCGCGGTTCTGAAACATCGGAGTTCTAAAATGTCGTAGTTTTAAAACGTTGCAGTTCTAAAATGTCGCAGTTCTGAAACGTCGCGGTTCAAAAATTTCGCGGTTCTGAAACGTCGCAGTTCTAAAATGTCGTAGTTTTAAAACGTCGCAGTTATAAAATGTCGCAGTTCTGAAACGTCGCGGTTCTAAAATGTCGTAGTTCTGAAACTTCGCAGTTCTAAAATGTCGTTGTTCTAAAATGTCGCAGTTCTGAAACGTCGCGGTTCTTAAATGTCTCGGTCCTGAAACGTCGCAGTTCTAAAATGTCGCGGTACTAAACTGTCGCAGTCCTAGAATGTCGCGGTGCTTGAATGTCGCGGTTTTAAAACGTCGCGGTTCTAAATCGTCGCGGTTGCAAATTTAAAAAAAAAACAGAAAGTTTTCCTAGAAATTACAGGTAGTTTTCGGTAAATTTACAGGTAAATTACCGGTAACTTTACCGGTGAAATACCGGTAATGTACCGGTAAAAATTTACCGGTATTTTACCGGTAAATTACTGGTAAGTTACCGGTGAAATTAAATTTACCGAAACCGTACCGATAGCACACACTGATGGTAAATGACCTAATAAAGACCTGGTATTCACCCGTTGTGTTTTCTAGACCATTAACTATGTGGTGGCTTAACTTTTGGAAGTTGAGTTTTCTAGGCCACCATAAGAAACTTCCTAAATATGACTTGTTATTCATCTTGTGTGTTTCCTAGGTCAGAAACACACCAGGTGCATGTTAGACCATTTCTGGATCAAATCTAGAAATTAATGTTAGGAAAGTTAGGCCAGCATGTTAAATGACCTAGAAAACATAGGTTTCAACATGATGGCCTAGGAAACTCAACTTGAAAAAGTTAGGCCATGATGTTGAATGACCAAGAAGTGGCCTGATATTTACCCATTGTGTTTTCCAGACCATTGGCATAACTTTTGCAAGTTGAGTTTTCTTGGCTAGCATGGTAAATGGCCTAGAAATGATCTGATATTCACTTGGTGTGTTTTCTAGGCTTCTCTAACATGCTGGCCTAACTTTTGCAAGTCGAGTTTTCTAGGACATCGTAGTTGATGATGCAGAAATGGTCTAACATGCACCTGGTGTGTTTCTGACCTAGAAAACAAACCAGATGCATATGCCATTTCTAGGGCATGTTACCATTGTCGAGCAATTTCTCGAAGAATTGAAAACTATTCGAAAAGTTTTTGAAAATTAGTTCGAACGAATTTTCGAATTTTTTCGAACTTATGGAAATTAGTTGAAAATCATGTATTTTGAAAAAAAAAACTCACCTCAACATCCATTTTCACTGGTTTCACTCCATCTAGAATATCTTCAAGGCTTGGATTCTGAGTTGTATAAAAATTCATATAAGTTTCCATTCTTTGATCATCCCGAATCTTCAGAAACCCAAAAAGTCTGACCAATTCATCATCTTCCCTATTCTTCAGCTCCAAAACGGTACAATTGGTTGGTGGAAGTTTCATTCCGACTTCTACGCATCTTTTGAACCGACAAGATTTACATTTCAACGGTTTCGGCTCTGTTATATAGCAGATTTTAATTTTCTTGCATTTGTAGGTCAACTTCTCAATTACCATTCGCCGAAAGAACATCTTGCAGGGTCCACATGCCACTGCCTGTAAAAATAAACCTATACATGCACTTTGAGCTCAATTATCTCGATTCATTTGCAAGATATAAAGAATGTGTCAACTGATGGATTACTTATCATAATATCATCAAAATTTTATCAGTTACCAGTTTTTTGATATCTCTCAAAAAGAACAGGCTCCAAGTTCGGAGTGTCCTTCTATTACAGGTTTCACTCACACCATAGTATCTGACAAATGCTGGTCTTCCACAAATTGTGCATATCTTTTCAAAATCTGAAGAGTCATTGGACGTAGAGGGAGAAGGAGTCGCCATACTAAAGATGAAAGATCGAATTTTCGAAAAAAAAAGAGAGAAAATATTGACACTGTTATCAATCTTGTGATATTACTCAAGATTTGAACATTGGTCGATTTGTATTTTCAAAAAATCTAACTTATTCCAAGAGGATAATAAACGAACCTGTTCTGATGTAGTCCTCCGATACGAGACCACAAAACACAGAGACACTTATTAGAGGGCAAGAGATGTACAGATAGAGGAGTCCCCCCGGGAATGGATAGACGATATCTGTACCCTTATCAAATGTCAAGAAAAATATATATCAGACGACGCTGTAGGTGTTTCTTCGCGAAGATTCTAGTTCCGCGTGCGGGGGGGGGGGGGGGGAAAGGTTCAAGATTTCGGGAAACGGGTGGTTCTTGAATAACAACTAATTCATGTGTTTGACTATGAAAAATATCGCACAAACTAGACGAAAAGATAGTTAGAGGTTTGAAAACCGTAAAACCTGTATTAGAAGGGCCTCCGTAATAGAAGGGCCCTCCGAGAGGGACTTGGAAAAATAGAAGGGCCCTCCGAGAGGGGCTCGGAAAAATAGAAGGGCCCCCCTACAGGGTACCGTGTTTTTCCAGCTATTATCATTGTTGTGTTGTTCAATAATATCAACTTGTTTCTATCAGTGATTTGCTTTATCGGTATGAAATATTAATTCAAAACCTCTATATAATTTCAAAAATCTAAATTTCAGGGTCTTCTTTGATACCAAAATGTTCTTTGGTCACAGTTCCATATGCTTTTCTGCAATTAATCGACTATTTTTGAATGCGGAGAGATCGATAATGTCTCGAGACTGGATTGTTAAAATTTTGGATTCAAGCCGGTTGAGCCGACAGAATGCAACACTAACTAGTCTGGACCAATTGATCAATGTGTTGGCGCCAATTGGAATCGGAGTAGGTCGAAATGACCCTACAAGGTGATCTGTATCATTACAGGCTCTCATCTCCTTCTTTGGTATCTCCAATGTGTTATGGATTTTTTTTTGCTATCTTTTTTGCTTTCACTCAAATCAGTTTTTATCTATTTCACATATCAATCTAACGCGTCTCTGCAGTACAAGAGACAACTTTCATGGACCATGGATTTTGAAAGTTCAAAACCTTCATCGTCCTCCGTCGGAGTTCCAAAACACGGTGTTCTGAAAACTTTTTATAGCCAGAAAACATTTTTGGCTTCTCTCGGAATGTCATTACTTTACAAAACAGTGATGGGTTTTGATAATTTAGCTGTTGGCTACGCTAAAAGCTCATCTGACTTATCAATTTTTACAATCGGACTATTACGATCATTTGGATCTTTGGTAGGAATGATTGGGGCACTATCCTATACAATTATGGGGAATATGGATAGGTTTAGTATAAGCTGGCATAGTGGGAATGATAGTTCAGCTCTTCGTTGGTAAGCAGTATCCACAATCTGGATCCCGGGATCACCATTCTTCGAACACGAACCTCAAGGGTTCAGTGTTCTAATTTTCTTAATTGCTATAGCTGCAGCAAGACATGGTATGATTTCTCACAATTACTTCATTTTATATATCCCACTTCAGGTCTCTGGTGTTTGGATCTCACCATCACGCATTCAATGCAACTGTTCCTGAAGCTGACAGAAATACTGTTTTCGGGTCTCATATGTCTCTTTGTCAAGCGTTTTCCATGCCCAAAGAACTGCTAGTAATCGTTTTCTCCGAGCCATCACAGTTTTACCTGTACATATTATCTTCGTATCTCTGCGTAACAGCTGGCCAGATCTTGTTTTGTATTTATGTGAGAAAAACTAATAATTAATGATATTACGACTCAAGCAACCTACATACATTCGTTCTGACCTTTTTCAAAAATCAGTTTCAAATTTTAACAACAGAAAGGAACATTACGTATGTTTTATGCTAATGTTCCGAAAAAAGTTGCATACGTGCAGGTTTGTAGTAATGATGACCACATTGGTCACAACTAACTTTTGATCGAAGAACCAATGACACGGCAGATGAAACAATGAAACAAGTAGGGATTTTTAATTTAAGTTTACACAGAAATCAACCGAAGAATCCCATATTAGAGGCACCGGGAACATTACTTTGACCGATATACACTTTCGCCTATGTTTCTAGGCCACTGCCTCCTTTTGCTTCAAGTAGGCAAATAGAACAAGCAACATTCGTGGCCTTGTGGCCTAATGGATAAGGCGTCTGACTTCTAATCAGAAGATTGCAGGTTCGAGCCCTGCCTGGGTCAAATCTTTTTTAAAATTTTTTGCTACTTGCCCATGTCAAGAAGAACGCCTGCCACCACCCTCATGTCATCAGGGTTCGATTCCTGAAGTCAAAGGTCTTAAAAAAAATTTTCCTGGGAGAAGCATTCAAACACTCTTCGATTTCTTGTTTGCAGATGAAAAATGTTGGCCTTAGAAAATTCTCCATGAACAATCTAGAGAATGAAAAACCCAAACATCGCCCATATTAATCAGCAGGTGACATTCATCCACTTAGCCCGTGGCAATAAGAGCAATTTTGTCCTCACCTTTCTTTTTTCGATAATTCGTTTTTTTTTCAACAAACAAATGACCGATTATTGCGTTGCCAGCTCTCAATACTTGGGTGACCCGGAAGTCTATAAGTTAGTGTTTCATATACTGACATGTATCGAGATTCCAATTCATATCTATGGAGCATGGTGTATAATATTCAAGACTTCTGCCCTTATGCGATCAGTGAAGTACTTATTGCTCTGGTCGCATTTTCTCAGCGCTCAGCTTGATTTATTGTTTAGTTTCATTTCAATTCCCTATATGTTGTTACTGAGTTTTTCTGGATATGCTTTAGGAATTTTTGACCAACCACGGTGGGAGGTGTACATCTGTTTGATAGTCACGGCGTGTAAGTCTTCAAAGGTTTCAGGGGAAAACCTCTGTTGATCATCATATTTCAGTTGTGGTAACTTCAATTCTTGGAATATACGAAAATCGGTTCTTTGTGTTATACGGATATAGGGAGAACCCCTCGTGGTGTCGTATCAGAAAACCATTTATTGCTTTTAATTATTTTCTCGCGGTCATATTCATTGCGCCGATGTATTTTCTTGATCCGGACCAGGAAATTGGTTTCCAAAATCTAGCAACAGTTATTTTCTTTGTGAAATTTGTAAACGTTCATTTAAATGTTTACAGGTTTTACCATGTAGTCCTGAGTCTGCTATTGGAGACCGTCGAATATACGTGGCATTCACGGATTCTCTATTGCCGTACATTGGTCTATCATTGGAAGCATTATTATTGGCATGTGAAATAGTTGTATTCCTGGTGATAACAATTTCGAAATTAAAAAGTCGAGATGGTCAAAACTGCAGCCAACTATCAGTAAAAACAAAAAAACTCCAGAAAAATTTTATAAAAGCTCTATTTGCCAAGGTTTGCCAATGATCCATGTTCGATTATTTTTGAGAAATTTTCAGTCTTCCATACCGATAACTTTCCTCTTAACACCAGTTCTGTATGTTCTCGTTACCATGCAATTGACCTATCGCAATCAAAACTTATCAAATGTTTGTGTTATGCTAGCATCGTCTCATGGCTTATTTTCCACTATTGTAATGGTTCTCGTTCATCAGCCGTATAGGGAGGCCACATGGAATAACTTATATTTTTGTTTTCGTTGTAAACGGCGAAACTTGAAGACAACAAGCGGACGTCAGTCAGATGGAATAATAAAAGTTTAAGATGAGGTTAATGAATCAACCTGAAAGAATCCAATATCCTTAAAATTCCGGACCAATTCTCGATGACAACAGTTCAGAGGCAACCTTTGAACCTTTGCCTCTGTCTCTAAGTCACCGTCTCTTGATGGTTCAAGTTGGCAAAAGAACAATCAGCACTGGCCTAATGGATAAAGCGTCTGACTTCTAATCAGAAGATTGCAGGTTCAAGCCTTGCCTGGGTCAAATTTTTAAAAAGATCAAACCAAGAACAAAACGTGCACCTCTGACAGGTGCATGATGTCTGCTCTCATAATTTTCTTCCCTAGCAATAACGATTTTTTCCCTAATAAACTTTTGATTAGATGCATTTTGATAGTCAGGTGAAAACCATGATCACAACCTCCCATTTCCCCGAAATTCAGCACTCATTGACTTATAATTATGAGTAACTTATGCTCTGTCAACGCTCAACTTTTAGCTGACCCAGATAAATTTAAAATCGCGTGCCATATAATGACAATTATCGCTATCCCTATCCACTTTTATGGAACTTGGTGTATTTTGTTCAAAACTTCAAACACTATGAAATCAGTCAAAAAATTATTACTCTGGTCCCATTGCCTTGGTGCTCTATTGGACTTGAGTTTGAGCTTTGTGTCAATCCCTTATTTCTTGTTTCCAACATTCTCTGGGTACGCATTAGGTCAAATGAATATGCCAATGTTACAAATTTATATTGAAATGTCACTAGCGGCATGTGAGTAGCACCTCTAATAGAAACCCACCGTATGCCTGCATTTTGAGCTCAATTGTCTTGGTTCTTGTGAGAGATATTTTAAAAAAGTGCAAACTGATAGATTAATTATCATGATATCACCAACATTTTATCAGTTAATAGATTTTTAATATCTCACTCAGGAACCGAGATAATTGAGCTCAAAGTGCACGTATAGGTGCTTTGTATTATAGCTAATACAGTAAAACGGTTACAAATTTTCCGCAAAAAATGTTTCCAGTGCTCTGCACATCAATCCTGAGTATTTATGAAAACCGATACTACATTCTATTCGCCCAAAACGAGAATCATTGGTGGAACAAAACTCGAGACTATTTCTTAAGCTTGAACTATTTAATAGCAGTGACTTTTATTGCACCCAACTATTTGTTCTGTCCGGACCAGATTTCAGCATTTGAGATAATTAAAACAGTAAGACATAATAGCAAAACCCAATAAACTTTTTTCGTTCTAGAAACTTCCATGCACTCCAGAACATTCCATCGATGACAGAAGAATATTTGTGGGAGCCATTGATTTGAACTTCACATTCTTCAGTCTTACAATTGAAGCGATATTGTTGTTCATAGAAATAGCGACTTTTTTCTTCATAGTTTTCTTCAAACTCGTACATCGGAACAAGAGAAAAATGTCATTGATGTCTAATAGAACCCATGGGTTACAAACGAAATTTGTGATAGCTCTGTGTTTGCAGGTAAATTTATTATCTTGTATTTTTTTTGTCTTCAATAATCTCGGCTACTGTAATTGATATGTATAGAAACTCTCATACAGGTTGTGATTCTTGTTACGTTTGAACGAATTTTCGAAAAACTTTGGAACAAACTGAAATTAGTTCGAATGCTCTAAAACTACAGTAACCTTTCCAATTTTCAGTCTACCGTACCCTTACTACTCATCGCTGTCCCCATCACATACGTTCTTGCAACACTCCGCCTCACCTATCATAATCAACTTCTTACAAATTTATGCGTCCTTATTGGATCCTCCCATGGAATCGTTGCCACTATTGTTATGGTTCTGATTCACAAGCCCTACAGAGATGCCACTGTTTACTTATGTTGCTGTTCGAAAAGAAATGCAAATTTTGATTCTAAAAATTTTACTGTCAACTTTACAAATCGTATGATAAAGTATTGAAACGCTAATTTCATAATCTTTTTTTATCTCATTCATTTTTCTCCTACTTGTTCTCTGATTAGATCAGAAATCCACAACTAACCAAAGTCCTCAAATCTACCTGGTTAATAATGATGCAGGTGTTTGTTTTTTTTTCTCCGGCAAATTCACCATTTTCACCTTTTTTCTCACTAAACGATGGAAGACTGCATACCCCAATCTGGTGAAATTTCTGATCCTGAAATCTACACCTTTATTTTTCACATCCTCACAATTTTTATGACACCAATTCATGTCTATGGAACATACTGTATTTTCTTCAAGACTCCTTCTCAAATGACTTCTGTAAAATGGCTAATGTTGAACTGCCATTTTTGGAATGTTCTATTAGACTTGAGTATTTGTTTTCTATCAATCCCATATATTTTCCATCCGACCTTTTCGGGAATCGCACTTGGCGTTATTGACTTTCCAGAACTCGAAGTATACCTAGTGATAACATTGATCGGTCGTGAGTTTTCTGTAAAAATTTTGGGCTGTCAAACATCCTAATTTTCCAGTGGTTACAATTTCGATTTGGAGTATCCATGAAAATCGTTACCATGTATTGTTCGGTGCGGATAATAACCCCATATGGTGTTTGATGAGAAAACCGATGATGCTAGTGAATTATTTTGCAGCTATAACATATTTCATACCACCATACTTTGTGCTCCCTGATCAAAATCAGGAATTTGTAAAAATCCAAGAAGTTAGCACTAGTTATAGAGTCTAATTCCAAAATAAACACTTTCAGATTCTTCCTTGCAACCTTCAGCAAGCCTACGCTAGTCGAAAAGTGTTTATATTGTCTGCTGGCAAAGATTTCCCTCTATACTGTTGCTTTGTTTTTTATGTCCTTGCTGTCGGTCAATCAATTCCATTATTCTTTATAATCATTATCAAATTGATTAGAAAAAGTCGCAAGAAGGAATCCACGGCATCTCTAAAGACCTTGAAAATGAGAAAGAAACTAGTGATAGCTCTTATCATACAAGTAGATCAAAACTTCCAGTTTGTCGTCGGATAAGACAAAAAAATTTCAGACTATCAGTCCATGCTTACTGATAAGTATCCCTGTGGAATACCTGGCTCTGGCAACATATCTAAATTATTACAACACTTCTTTGAATCGTTTTTCAATGATTTTATTTGGTCTCCATGGGGTTTGCTCTACGTTGACCATGATTTTTGTGCATCAGCCTTATCGAGAAGCCACTGTTGATAATTTTTATTGGTTGATGATGTGTAGGCAGAACTCTAAAAAAATCAGTGTGGCTCCAACGACTATGCATTCTTGAGATGGTCAAAAAGGCGATTTTCTGAAACTTTGTTGATTGATCATCTAATAAACCCTTATGAAACCTACATGATTAACAAAACCTAACAAAACCGCAGGTGATTTTCTCCTAGTTTTCTTTTCAATCTCACATTATTAAATTTATTCCTAATAGGCCATTTCCTATTACATGGAAGATTGCATCCCTAGCTCCAACGATCTTGCTGATCCCAAAATCTATACACTCATCTTCCACATCATAACATGTCTAGAAATGCCTATTCACGCCTACGGAGCATACTGTATTCTATACAAAACGCCACTTCAGATGGCTTCCGTCAAATGGATAATGCTCTATTGTCATGTTCTGAATGCCCTGCTAGATTTGAGCATCAGTCTATCCGTCCCTTATATCTTTCATCCAACGTATTCCGGACTTGCACTTGGTATTATCAACTTTCCAGAACTCCAAGTTTATATAGTAACTTCTTTGTTTGGGTGTAAGTCAGGTCTTTGAAAGTTGAATGAGCAGTGGTTACTGTACTTTCAGTGGTTACTGTATCGATATGGTGTATATATGAAAATCGTTATTACATTCTTTACGGAGAAAATGAGAATCCATTTTGGTGTAATGCACGAAAACCTGTAATGGTAATCAACCACATGTCAACATTGCTTTATTTTGTTCCCGCGTTTTTCGAGTTGCCCAATCAAGATAAAGCCTTCGTGGATTTGAAAAAGGTAAACATAATGCGGCACATAATTACCAAGACCTGAATTTGTACTAGCATAAAAATTGAATAAAACGTTGAACTGGGCTCAAATTTGGAGCACAAAAATTCAAATGATTCATCAGCAAACTGGCGAAGTGTCCAATCGTTTGGTCAGCTATGAGCTGAGTACTCGTTCGTCAAAGTTGCTTTATCTCAAGCGCATCGGCATGCAAGAATCTTTGGACAATCATAACCGGACTTGAGAAATCGCTCTGAAAATTTGGTTAGCCTTGAATCAAACCTCAAATAATATTTCTACCAATTTCCGTGCTTCCCAGTTACTTATGTCTAGATATACCTGGTTTTATCAGTCGGGGTAATTGTGCTCCAGTTTCAGATCCTTCCATGCAACATCCAGCAATTCTACGATGATCGAAAAGTTTTTATTCTCACCTTGGATTCAGCTACTCCGTTGTATTGTGTATTTTTCTTTAATTTGTTCGCCGTAGGACAGTGCCTAATTTTCTTCATCACCACTCTCACCAAATTAATCAGACAGAGCCGTAATAAGGCGTTGGCTGCTTCTCAGCGGACATTAAAAATGAGAAGGAAGCTAGTGATGGCCATAGTGATACAAGTAGGTTAACCCAATTTTTATCCCAAGTATTTCAAATTTTCAAAATTCCAGACACTCTGCCCCTGCATTCTCATAAGCATACCTATGGAGTACCTAATCACATCTACCTACTTGAACCACTACGATCAATCTTTGAACAGATTAGTCATGATTTTCTTCGCGCTTCATGGAATTTTCGCCACGTTAACTATGGTTTTCATACATCAACCGTATCGAGAGGCAACGTTTGAAAGCGTATATTGGCTTTTCAGATGGACAAGGAAAGCCAGAAAAGCCGATGATTCACAAAAAGTCAGTGCTGTAGTTGTGACAATGTAATGTTGATATACAAAAATAAATGAGTTGAGCTTCTTGAAAATCTGTTGTTTTCTTGTGCCCACAAATCCCGGACTGATAAAAACTTGTATATCTTTAGACACAGGTATCTTGGAAGCACGAAAATTGGTAGAAATGTAGTTTTACGTTTGATTCAAAGCTTCTGAATTTTTTGTAATTACAAAAATGATTATTGGCGGTTCCTTATCCTTATGGATAGCCAAAACCATGTAATCAACTAACTGTAACTCCTGATTAGAATAGGAGAGCTTATGAATGGTGTAGCGATTTTATGATAATGTACTTAACACTTACTAACAATTACTTTATTGTACTCCTTCCTCTTGGAAAGGCATTATATCAACATCAAGTACCAAATGTTAAACAAGAGAAAATGATAAAAGAAAGAGCCCCGACACTAACTGGCAGCACTCTTTTATAGAAGCGCTTATCAGTTAGATCGGAAAAGTTGAGGCGGAGACTTGCGCCTTGACATTTTCAAAGCGATTCCTAAAGTCTAGGTAATGATATGGTTGTCCAAAGATTTTTATGAGAGGAAGCAACTTTGACAAGCGACAACTAGGCGAAAAATTTATCAAACAACTCAAAACTTGACGAGGTTACTGATGAATTTTCTAAATGTTCGCACTCCAAATTTGATCCTAGTACAACGCTTTATTCAAATCTTACGCTAGTACAAACGCGATACCCTGTAGTTCCCGATACTTTGACGGAAACACATGCTATAATTCTTTTCAGACTTAGACTCTTGGAAAAATAAAACTAAACCATGTGTCTAAATTCTTCTTAGAAGGCCAACCTCCAAAAACGTAATATGCATCCTACCGGAAATTATCAAAATCAGAACAAAAAGTAGCTTGTTATATACACCCCACTTCATTCGCCCATTAAGAATGTCTACCGATCACAGTCTCGTTTCAAACATCGTGGCTCGAGTTGGATTTTGTTCAACAATGATTTTCTGCACAATCCAGATTCTTTTGACATGCTTTGTAAAGCAAAGTGTATTTGGCAGTTATAAATTTCTGATTACAATGTTCGCGGCATTCGGTATGATTTTTGCTGTGGTTGAGGTGGTGGTTTATCCGGTGAGTTGTCTTTGTCTGGTGGTGGAGAATTAGAGGATTTCTTAAATTTGAAAAACTCAGAACGTGCACATGCTCAATACTGGCGCTCTGTACTTTACCTTATCGAGACCACTAAACGTAAGTCTTGATGTTTCCAAGGTCCTTCTAGCTGTCTACACTTGGTTCTACGCTTTTACGATTTCCCTTTTAGCAGTTTTATTCATCTACCGCTACTTGGCAGTTTTCAAGTAAGCCAGGCTAGTCGAAGACTCTTAGGAATTTCTTGAAAATTTCAGCCAGAAACATCTGAAATTCTTTCGTGGCTTCTCAATGTTCATTTGGTTCTCCTATTGTTCATTTTTCGGTTTCCAATACTCCATCGGTACCTACACCTTCATGACGTTTGACGACATCTCTTTTGCCTATTTTCATGATGAGGTTCCACTTCGATACAACATGACCTTGGCTGAAATTCCAGCAATGGGAATTGTGGCCTACGATCCGGTAGATGGTTCGATTAGATGGTGGAATGTGATGTGTCTTCTGAACATCTTCACAATTATGGCAATACAGTATACCATTATGATTTGTTGCGGGCTGAAAATGCACTGGAAAATGGAAGACAAGATAAAGTACTACTCACCGGCGCTTCGACGGCATCATCAGCAGTTTTTCAAAACGTTGGTTATCCAGGTACAATTTTTTTTTTCAATTACTGTAAGCACAATGTCCAACAAGCCTTCAACTTTATACCTATACCGTAAAACCTATAAAAGAAGAGCCCATTTGAGCCAATTTATCTCGGTTCATGTCAAAAATATCAAAAAGTTGTCAACTGATACATTTTTTATCATAATATCAGAAGTTTTTTATCAGTTGCCCTATTTTTGATATCTTGTATAGGAACCTAGATAATTGAGCTCGAAGTTTATAGTGACTTTTACCATAAACCATGTCATAGAAAGGCTCCATAACCCGCAACTTTGACTTATCGCAGTTCCTGTCACAGATACTAAAAATGTGTTAACCAATAAATTGTTTATCATGATATCAGTATTATTTTATCATTTGAAACATTTTTGATATCTTGCATAGGAGCCAAGCAAATTTAGTTCAAACTTGGCCGTGTCGATACCAGTTCTATCCCAGGTTTTACGGTATATCTCGTTTTGTATGAAAATATTAAACTTTTGTATGAAAATATTAAAGTTGAACTACAAAAATGTTTATCATAATGTCAGAAATGTTTTAGTGACTTGAAGTGACTCATTTTTCAGATATCCGCCCCCACAATGACCCTTTTCGCACCTTTGGTTTTCATAGTCTGCCTTCCAATGTTCAAAATGGAAATCGACATGTCAGTTGGCGTACTCATTTGCAGTTTTACAATGTATCCAGCTATTGATGCTCTCATTGTGATGTATGTAGTGTCAGATTATCGTAAAATTGCATTGAGTGAGTATTGTATGATTTTGAACTTCAAAAGTTGGTTTTCAAATTTCAGAACTTTTGAAATCGGTCACGAAAAAGATACGAACGCCATTTAAAGCACCGAAAAGTGGTCCGAAATCTATTGCAAAACGTCCAGAACCGATGAGCACATCAACACAAGTTGCCAATGAGTGAATTAAATGTTTTGTATTTTTGCCTCCCTTTTTGAATCAAAGAATAAATCAAAGTATCAAAAAGTGACCGCATTGGAGATCATGTACATTATGTAGACAAAATGTGTTAGGTGGAGACGCAGACAACTGTGCGCATAGTTTGTGACAGACACAACACGGAATCAAAAGAGGTGTTTGTGACGTATCTTGTATAAAAACAGGAGAGGACAAAACCAATAGTACCAATAATGACTCTTTACGAAACTGCTGAAGGTATTCTGGAGACTCATGTGACGTGGGAAGATGTCGAGAAGGAACTTCAGAAGACGTTCAGCACGAAGGCAACGTTTGGAGACAGAAAGACGGCGAGAAATATTAGTGACTTGAAGGTAAGGCACTTTTTAAAATACCTTTTAACCTACAATGGAAAGGCCCCTAACCTTGAGTCAATTGTTTATCATAGTGTTAGAAGTGTTTTGCCAATGGACACATTTTTCGTATATTTTACCTGAACCTAGATAAATCGGCTCAAAGTAAAAAAATGCAGAGGCCCTTCTATTACAGACTTTTTGGTAACTTAACATTTGAAGTTTCCAGGGATTCATGTCCAAAATCGCTTTAATTGAAGCTGATTGGCAAAATGTGGAACCAGGAAAAGTTCTACCCAAAAGATTTGCAGTAAAGGTAACTATTTGTTTTTGTGAGCTTCCTACAGACTCCATTTAGATTTGCTCCCAACTTCCATATATTGCATTTTCCAAAGTTTTGAAATATACCGATGAGAATGGGTTCGAGGATCAGAAGCTGAAAGAATTGGGGAAGATTTTGAGAGAAGCACATAATAGAGAAATCGGAGCATACAAGTTGTTGGAGAAGTTCAATCATCCAGATGTGCCGTTTACAAAAGTGAGTTGAATTTATTGATGGATGTAATTGTAAGCCGGGACTTGACAGGCCTTCGCGATCCCTACCATAGTTTCTTTTCAATATTTCTGAACCAAGTAAATCAGATATGATAGAACTCGACGGATACTACAAAACGATACTGCTTGGGAAACTGTATCTGGTTTGTGAACAAAGTTACGAGCCAAAAACCGTCTGAGCTACATGGTCACAGCTTTGTGACCTTGTAACTTTGTTCATAGAGAAGATAAAGTTTTGTAAGTAGTATCATTTTGTAGTAATCGTCGAGTGCTATCATATCACATTCAGTTGGTCCAGAAATGTTTTTTTTCCAAAAGCAACTATGGCAGGGCTTGTGAAGGCCCGCCAAGCGATAGATTTACAAGTAACTTGATGCTCTGCTCCAATTACCCTACATCTTAACCTACATCTTACAGGTCTACGCCCTGAAACCATTCACGAGCGAGTCCGACCTTAAGGGGTATATGATCATGGAATACATCCCTGACATCTTCACAACTTCTATGACAGAGCCTTTTTCTGCTGATGACCTTATTCCTACAATCAAAGGAGTTTCTACATTTGCTGCTCTGGGACACAAACTATCCGATGACGAAAAATCGTTCGCACTAGGTGCCGAATTTCTCGAGTATTATTTTAACACTTTTCTGGGACCAGCAACCATCGAATCCACTTTTCAAAATCTAATTCAAGCATTTTCATTCTTGGAACGTTCCAAGGTGGAAGAACTTGTTGATGTCTATCGTCAGTATCTGAAAATTCTCAACAAGTTTACAAGGATCTCTGAAGTTCTGGGTTTCCATCCAATCCTTAATCACGGGGACTTATGGCAATCGAATATGCTGTATAAAGCTGGAAGCGATGGAAAGCTGGAATTGAAAGCTATTATTGATTGGCAAGCACTTTCCCTGCTCCCACCGGCATTTGATATGACAAGACTGTTTATTAGCAGTCTCACTCCTGAAGTAAGGTGCTGATTTTTACAAAGTTAACCAATTTGAATTCTCCAGGATCGTCGGCAAAGAGCTCCGGAACTTCTGAAAATCTTCCACGAAACCTTCATAGCAGTTCTTGGCGAAGAACTTTTCTCATATCAAGAGATTTTCGACTCTTACAACTTGCACTTCCCATTGATGTCCTTGATGGTTCTCCCCGGAACGTTTGGATTTTTAGACGCTCCACATTTGGAAGAGCCAGAGAAGTCGCTTGTGAAAATGAGGACAAGGAAAGGTATGGAGGCAATCATGGAGGATGTGTTCGTTGCTCATGAATATAATTTGAAGAATTTTGCAGATTTTTTGAAGGAATAAACATGTTTTTGGTCTTTGTATAGCTCGTTATATATTTTAAAATATTAATATAGTATCTACCAAAGTTGTTGTCTGGATCCATCTTTCTTGGCGTGGGATACTGTGACGGCTCCCAAGGGATTCGGAACACTGACGGTCTTCTCTGATCTCAAAATAAACAACACAACTGATATTGTTGTTTTCTTGTTACGAAATTTCGAAATGAATTTATGAGTCACTAAAATTGATTTGTTTTTTCAATGCATATGCGCTCTAATCCAGCCTTATGATATTCCAGAAAAAGTCTATCAAACCGTTGTATACAAATCAGTAAACACATCTGACTCCCTATCTCTCGGGAATTTTCTCGAATCTACAATCTACAATTTCCTTGAAAAATGGGTCTCTCGGATTTCCTATCTGCACGGGTGAGTGAATAGTTTAATATTAGAATACTATAAAACCTGTAATAGAAAGGCCCACTGACTTTTAACCTTGAGCAGTATATCTCGGTTCCTGCGAAAGGTATAAAAAAGTTGTCAAGTGATAGAATGCTTATCATAGTATCACAAACATTTTATCAGTTTACACATTTTTGATATCTTGCATAGGAATCGAGATAATTGAACTCCAACTTGTAAATGAGGGTGCTCTTCTATTACAGGTTTTACGGTAATGATTTTTTCTAGCCTTTAAATTCAGTCAATCGATGTATTCCTTTTTTTAGTTCCGTCGCCAATCCTCCACAGCTTCCTCAATATCTATCAGTCTGGATCCCAATAGGCCGTGAGTCATCGCATCCATTCATTGTTTTTCAGTTTTCACAGTTCAAACTTTCAGTGTCATCAAGAACGTCCAGAAGGAAATTGACTTTGCTCTGATCCTTCTTCGATTCCAGAACCCTCGAGAACTATTCGCCTTCTCTCCAGTCTGCATCTCCTTCGGATTCTCACTGATCCATTCTGGAGCCGCCGGAAGTACCAAGGATCAGATTCGCGATTTCGTTCTCAAAGGAACCTCACACAAGCACTTTGAAAAGCATTTTGCCAAATTGAACCACTCGCTTCTGAGAGCAGAGAATGGTACCGAGATGTGTATGGCCAATCATTTGTTTGCAGAGTAATACGAAAACTAAAGTCTAATAATGCTGGATTTTTTTCAGCATTACACTAGAAGTGAAAAACGACTATCTGCAGAAAATCGAAAGATTGTTCAGAAGTGGGGTCACACAACTCCCATTTTTTGAGAATTCTCATGGATCCGCAGTGTCCATCAACACCTTTGTTGGAATGAAAACCAAGAACCATATTGGCAGGTTCATGAATGACTTGAACTTTCCAATCGGTAGGATATCCATGCTTACTATAGTTAATTTTCTAGTTTCAGGAGCTTCTACAATTTTGGTGAACGCTGCATATTTCTTGTCGGACTGGAGTACCAAATTCGACGGAGCTCAGACAACGAAGCTTAACTTCCACACAAATCATATGGAGAAACGTCAAATCGATTTCTTATCGAGCTCTCGTCCAGTTCTTTATTCTGAAAACAATGAGTTCCGAGTTCTCACTCTTCGCTATAAAGCGGAATCCTTCGCCATGAGTATTTTCCTTCCCATCAATCGTTTCGGATTGAGAGAAGCTATCATGGGTCTGAACTCGGTGAAAGTTCAGAACCTGCTCACCAGAGCCAATGAGGAACAAATACATGTAAGGAATGATATGGATTACCAGAAACATATTCAGTTCACAAATTTAAGATCCTAATTCCGAAGTGGAAAATTGAGTGCGATTTCCCTCTCACTGATGCTATGCCTCTGCTCGATGTAGCTGAAATGTGCGGACCATTCGCTGAGCTAGATGACATTGCTCCGGGAGCGTCAATCAGTCAGGTTATGCACAAAGTGTTGATTGAGGTTGGGGAGAACGGAACAACTTCGACTACAGATGCTTCCTGTGAATACCGGTGCCCACCAGACAACGTCGACTTTCTGGCTGATCATCCGTTTATGTTCCTGATCACTAAAGACCTTCACCCACTTTTTATCGGAACTCATTATTGATATTTTTCATGACCGTGTATATTCTGTACATTTGAATGTTTTTCTTGTTCGAAAACTTTTGTATATCATCCTTATATGTAACACGCTAGAGGCGTCTGTTGGTTACCCTGTCAGTCTGTGGACTTTTGAAAAATTATAAAATAATTTTTACTTGACCCTTTAAGAATACGGAGCCACAAATCAGTAAAAGAACCAGATTGAATTGCACCGAAGGCCCACCAGCTTGCTGGTATCTTCCTTATATATAAAACGCTAGAGGCGTCTGTCCGTCCCGGTGTCCGTCTGTCAACTTTTGAAATACTTGAAAATAAATATAGATTTACGTGATCCTTTTAGAAAAAGTGAAGAGCAAAGCTATTCAAAGCAATTCCGAATCCTCTCAGCCCCACACTGTCGTGCTGCCCGCGCCCTCATCAAAAGTAGAATTAGATCTTCACCTAAAGTCCCACCTCTTTCTGCTAATGGCTGTCTTATAACATCTGAACACGAAAAATCCACCCTTTTCACCAAAACATTCTCTTCTAATTATAATCATCTCACTTATCCGCATCCATCACTCCCGCAATAAGTCATCAGCATCTTCCTTTTTCTGGCTCTGACCTTGAAATCTTCGATCCCTGGATAATTGAGAAGCTTCTTCGCAAACTCCCACCTCGTTGTGGCTATTCACCCCATTCGGCCAATTACTTTATCATTAAAAAATGCGCCACCACTCTAGCTCTACCTTTATCGATTATCTTCTCTGACTCACTCTCCACGTCACATGTACCCGACTCTTGGAAACACGCAGTAGTCGTTCCCATACCAAAAAAAGGTTCTCCTTCATCGCCCGAAAAATATCGCCCCATTTCGCTTACTGACCCATTCGCTCGAATTTTCGAACGATTGGTATGTGATCGCATCAAATGGGAATTCCTCCATCAATTCAGTAGTCTTCAACATGGTTTTCTCTCCAACAGATCCTGCACCACCTCTCTAGTTCAATCTTTTTCGAATTATAAAGCTACTCTTTTGAAATACAATACACTAGACGTCGTCTTTTTCGATTTCCGCAAAGCTTTCGACCAGGTACATCATCAACTTCTCATCCAGAGCTTTGGAGTCCCTAAATCTTACGTAGCTTGGTTCTCCTCGTTTCTCTCTGGTCGAACGTTCTCTGTCAAAATCTATGATTTTATTGGACCCCCTTCCTCTGTCATTCCCTCTGGTGTTCCTCAAGGATCAGTCTCCGGTCCCTTACTATTTCTCACATTCATCAATGATCTGCTCTTAGAATTTGAACAAATTCCCTCTCTTCACCTTGCCGCCTTTGCTGATGATATCAAATTGTATTCTCATGACCCAATCGCCTTTCAAACTGGTATCAACATGGTTGTAAATTGGGCTACCGCCAACCATCTCCCTCTTGCCCACTCTAAAACTGTCTTCGCCTAGGTTCCCATAATTCTTCCCATCCTCTCAATATTGCGGGTGTCGCACTTACTCCCTCCTCCTCCGTCCGGGACTTGGGACTCATTACTGATTCCTCTCTCAAATTCTCTGCTCACATCAACAAAATCACATCTTTAGCTCTTCTCCGTTCCAAACAACTCTTAAAGTCATTTAGATCTAAGTCACCAGAATTCTACATTCGTCTTTTCAAATGTTATGTTCTCCCGATTCTGGAATATTGTTCTGTAGTTTATTCCCCTCCGCCTTCTTCTCGCCTTGCTCTAAAACTAGAATCTCCCTTAAGATTTTTCTCTAAGTGTATTTTCCAGCGTTGTAATATCCAGTACAGTTCCTATTCTGATCGTCTCTCTATCCTCAATATGTTCTCCATTCGACATCGTAGGCTAAAAGCTCAACTAATTCTTCTCTATAAATTTTTAAATGGCTCCGCTTACTTTCCTAACCTAAATGCACATGTCAAATACTCCTCCTCCCCTCGTCGCCCTATGAACTTAATTATTGTTCAGCCCTACTCCTCTGACTATTTTTCTTCAATTGTTCCCCTGTGGAACGCCATCACTTCCCAAGTTACCCGATTTCTCCTACCTTCCGAGTTTGAATCCTTAATTTCTTCCAGTATTACTCGTTATTGATATATTTGTTCCCCTATTTTTCTTTTTTCTTTTCTCTTCTTCTACCGGTTACATTTTTCCTGTGTCAAATATCTAAATTACCCCGTTTCCCCTCCCCTAGTCAGATCGGCCTCGGGAGGGGCATTTTTTCTGAGTCTTTCATGTCCTGCCCTCTAATGTTTTATTACACCTGATCAATAAACAAATTAAATTAAAGCTACGAACCAGTAAAAAACTAGATTGAATCGCGCCGAAGGCGCACCAGCTGGCTGGTTATATATAAAAATATATATTCAGCGATTGTTAGAATAGACAATTAAGATGTTTGAGCTTTGAATACTTTTATTGCCCAAAATAAGTTTCTATCAGAAGGCTGTTTTTATCCATAGAGATTTGCAGATTGATTGTTATAAAAATAGAGTAGGGTGGATATTCTTCCAAGCAAACATTCAAAGTCTCTTCAGACACACTTCTGTTCCAATCTGAAATTTAACTTTTTTAATAATCATTTTTTTAAATATGCACCTGAAGTTTATCACAATCTAAACCATCATTCCAATCCATAAACTCTTGCTGTGAAAGTACATTATCCGTCCAGATTTTGAAGCAAGTATCTCCGGTTTTGATCTTATGCCCTTTTTTGGCACTTCAACTGGAAACCGGTCATAGCCATGCACAGCAGGCCGGTGCGGCAATAAAATTTTTTCGGCAATTCGGCAACTCGGCAATTTGCCGAATACTTTTCGGCAACGTTCGGCAACTCGGCAATTGCCGAAAAAAAATTTCGGCAATTTCGGCAACTTTCGGCAATTTTCGGCAACAAAAGTTTTGCGTCTTTTTTTCAGTAAAATCGATACGTAACTCACCTGAAAATGCTTCTATCAGGCTCAGAACTACAAAAAATGTGTTTCATAAGTTCCTTAAAAAAGTAATTACAAAAAATTGGCAACTCAAGACCACATTTTTTATGAAACTATTTCTCTTTAGCAATAGAGGGTATTCCAATGGTTGAAAATATTTGTTCCGATTGTGAGTTTTGAAAATAGTGCGCTCAACTTGTTAGGCAACTCACGACACACGTTCCCTAGAGATTTGAGACAGATTGGATAATTTTTTAATACTCATGATATCTATTTTTCTCCTATGCTCACATATTTGAAGCCCATTTTTAGATCCGATGCAAGTATTTTTGATGATTATTGGGACACATTTCCTCTAAAATTCACTCTGAGGGATGATGGTATTCAAAATTTGATTTTTCGAACTTCGAAATCATTTTTTTGACTAAAAAAATTGTGAAAATCTCTAAATTCAAAAAAATTTCAGTTGCCGAAATTGCCGAAATTTTTTTGCCGAAATCGGCAACGACAATTCGGCAACTGTTTCTTCGTTTGATGCACAGCCTGAAATGATTCAAAAATCTAACTATTTTTAGTTTGACTCATTTTTGTCCAACATGGAGTTTGTCACAATCCAACCCTTTGTTCATTCGCTTTAAAGTGTCCAAAGTCAGATTCGTTTTCCCGCGGATCATCCCCCAACAAGTGTCTCCGGACTTGACTTCTTGCCAAATTGCTCAATAGTCTTTTGCGGAAACCGCGAAAATACTGTAGATAAGGAATATGAAAGGTGCGGATTTCATTGTGGCGGTCGACACCTGGGTACGAGAAATGATAAGATCCTGGTCGCTTATAAACGGAAAAATGTTGTGTAATACATGTGGGCGGGGTTGATAAAGACGGGGGGGGGGGGGTGATAGGGGTTAAAATATGTTTGGGATCAACAGATGACTAAAAGAAAAAAAATTGGAGAATTTTTTCATGGTGCCCTGCCTGGGTCACCATGTAAAAACGGTAAAGCAGCGTTCTTCCAGTATAACCTTTTATTGACTAAGAAACCAAGAATACACTACAGTAGACAACTAAAATGAAAAGAAGAATCTATAACTGATAGTCAAGCTCCCCTTTTATAGGAGTTAATTAGAATTGCAAATTATTTCCACAAATTATTGCCACAGGGGCAGAACGAGGAAACATTAGAATAAATGAATTAATATGTTTTGTTCTTTCTGATTTTTTCCACACCGCAACCTTCGGTTTCTTCGCACTCGCGACAGTCATGGAAAGATCATGGCCCGGGCCTTAGTAGGTTACCTTGGACCAAACCGCCCGTTCTTTCAGAGATCACCTCATCCGATCTCATCCGAATAGCTTCTAGCTAGACCGCCGAACCTCACCCATCTCAGAATTACCATGACCAAAAAGTCCCGGCTATGTTTCTGACCACTTTGGCAATGTTGTGGATTAGGAGACAATGGAAAAAACTCGTAGAGACGACCAGAAAATATTGAAGAAAGGTAATCTTCCCCACCCTTACTCTTGATTGTTGTGTTAAGAACTTTTTGAACCGCAATTTCTATTCCTCATAGCATTCAAATGAACTTTTGAATTCGTCGAACATTCACTAATTGTAAAATGAATCACATCACAAATCATTTTCAATGTGTTTTTGATTTCCTAGCAATTAGTCCCTTTTATCTTTTTTAAAGAGGGAGAACATGTGTTTTGAATTTAGATTCGTAACGAGAAGAAAAAAAATTGACCTTCAAAACAATGAGATGAAAAATCCAGTCGTGTGATATCTTATTTTGTCTTACACCGAAAGAGCTGACCTTATTACACTCTTTTGATTGGGTTGTTGTTTATCAGTTTGCTATTTTGTTTTCTAAAGATTTTGATACTTTTTTACATTGTATTTTTTTTGTTCCAAGTCCTATGATACCTCTAATACTTTTTCTGATACCTCTGGTATCATCGAAAGAGTATTGCGTCAAATGGGCAATAAATTCGGGGGACACTTGTTGGAAAATAGCAACGAATGCAAAGGTTACTGTAGAACAACTAAAAGAACGAAATCAAGGAGTGCCATGTGATAAGCTATCAGTTGGAGATAAGTGAGTAACTACATAACACGAATTTCAAGCCCAAACTACTTTTTAGGCTATGTGTTCTCACATCCTCTATCAAACCAAAATGCTTGACCAAAATGAAAATAAAGAGCGGAGACACTTGTTTTAACATTTGGACCTCCCGGAAATTGTCAGAACGAGAGTTTAAAGAAATGAACGAAGGATTGGGTTGCGATAAATTGGAAATAGGGAAGGAAGTGTGTGTAGGTGTGGAATCTGTACAGGAGACAACCACACTGGAAGATAAGAAACCGGCGCTTCCGATGATAGAGAGTGAGTGAGATTATACAATTTTCAAATTCGAGAAATTTGATTTCTCAGCATTTGAACCTTGCAACGAGTACACACAATCAAGCAGGGAGACACCTGCTTCCAAGTGTCAGTTGCTTATGGTCTCGACCTTGCGGATCTTCAAGCAAAATATGATTGCAATGCTCTTCAGGTATCTATAAATAAATTCAAACTCCAATTCATTCAAATTTCAGATCGGTGATACTATCTGCGTCTCCAAAAACTTCACTTGCCAGCATCGTATCGAAATCAAGCCTGGAGACACTTGCTGGTTCCTGGAAAACGCTTTTCAGACGAATCAAACCGAAATACAAAGATCCAATGAAGGCGTGAAATGCGATAATCTGCCCGTGGGACGAATTATTTGTGTCTGGTCGGCGGATGACAGGAAGCTACCGAACATGACTTGCACTAAATGGAAAACGATGGATAAGGAATTGGGATGTTATGACAAAAAATTCTTCGATCACCATAGACCATTTTAAGTTCTTGAATCCGAGAATCAATTGTGACATGAAAATCCCAAAGGATCAGGAAATCTGCGTCAAGAGTCATTCTACGACACCATGCTCTTCGATTCAGTTTGTGGATAAAACTCAAAACTGCACAACGATCCAGCAACACTACCAACTTAGCAGTTGGAGGTTGATGCATCTGAATCCAACATTCAAATGCGATAGAGTGGAGAAATCCGAGCAGGTTGGACATTTTTATGACTATTGAGATTATATGTCAATTTTTATTAGATCTGTGTTGGAACTGGTCCGTTCAAACAAGCGGAATGTGTGTCATCGCAACGGGTCACTCCAGAAAATGATAACTGCGAAAAGCTATCAAAAATCACTGGATTGAGCAATGGACAGATTGAAGCGTTGAACCCAAAAACCAAATGCGGGAAGAAGTTCGAATGGGGTTCACTGATTTGCACTTCGAGTTTGGGAATCGATACAAAATCTGCACAGAAGTTGATAGTCACGAGCTTGAAAGATATAGCACCGAAGTTAGCAGAAATAGTAAGCAATCACCGAATTTCAATTATCAAACCTTGACTTTTTCAGTTCGAAAACTACAATGCTAACCCGAACGAGGCGAATGAAAACGCAATGAACCAACAACTACTATCCGACCTGCAAAAACCAGCAGTCAACTCCAAGCTCAAAGAGCTCTACAAATCAGATGAGAAAATTCGGAAAGTTCTCGATAGCCAGCATCCTCTTCCCCGGAAATCATATTGTGATCAGATTCAGAAGACCAAGATGAGGTAATTTTTCTAACATTTGAAGAATATACCGTCATACCTGGATTAGAAGGGCCTGTTTTTTGAAGCCTCTCTCGAAGGCCCTTCTATTAAAGAGACCCTTCTAATACAGTTTTTACGGTATATCGAGATTGTGTGAAGTTTAAGGGATGACATCAAGACTTGCTTCTGTGAAAATGACGAGCTGCTGTTGTACTGCCAAGTTCTGGCTACAAAAGTGTTTATGGAGAGTCAAGATGCAGAGGATCTAGAAGCACAAAATGTGACAATGTTGAGAGTATTCCGGTTAGCTTTTCAATCAAATTTTCAGATTTCCTTTTGAACTTGCCAGAGCCAAACGGTCCATCGCCTGCTCTTTCTCCACCCCAACTACCGGACAGGATAGTCTATCTGTATTCAAAAGTCTTTACGGCGGTTGCTTCGCAGGTGGATGTTCCTTTCCGATTGGACTTGTTGAGATCAATGTCGAAGCCAATATCTGCGCTCCACTAGTCAGTTTTGCAGCGGATACTGTAATATTCTGCGAAAAATCTGAAAACGACTGTAGCAAAGTGGAAAATGAAGATATCTCTGGATTAAAGTTCTTATCCGAGAGGAAACTAGGAGGAAGTATTAGCTTATGTGCAATTGGGTCTAAGCTGGTGAAGATGTTATCTAGAGGAGGATTGAGTTTGTGCTGGGAAGTGCTGGCAGCTGATTATTATGGATTTATTGGAAGGTTGAATTTAGGATCCAACTTGCACCTTATCGTAGTGGAAGTGAGTGACGAACTCCTTGATTTTCTACAATGAAAGTACACGGGCTGGCCTTCCCTAAGATGTGCAGGCATAGCGAATTCGAGTGTGAAGATTACTGTAGATGGGCTGCTGAAAGCTGGCACAATGGCAAAGCCTATGGATATTTCAAGATTCGCGCGTTGAAAATTTTTGGGTTTAGTGGATTCAAGCTGATTGAGGAGACATACAACCAACCAAAACGAGTCGGGTGTGATACTGGAAAAGAGGCTGCAGTGGTGATGAGAAATGAGCGAACTTGTAAGGATCATGCTGAGAGAGAGAGATACAGAGAAGGTGCTGGAGTGGAGATGATGTGGTATTGACGTGTTTTTTAGATCTTAAAATCATAGAAAGTTTACAGATGGGATGGGCTGCACTTGAGAAGGAATGGGGGTTTGCATTCCAACCACATGCATTTGGAAGAACACTCTTTGTGTGCGAATTCATTGATAAGAGTGGACAGAAAATTGGTTTTGATGTTTATGGAGGAAAATCCAAGAACCGAGGAAAGAGTACATTCCATTATGTTGTCAAAAATGACGGAATATACTTTGGAACAGAAAAATACAAAGAGGACCAAATGATGGGATCTTGGAGTCATAAATGTGAGGAAGAGAAGCTAGAATCTCCAAAACCAGAACCACCAAAAACCGAAGAACCAACTGGAACAAGTTCAGTGCCAGCAGCCGTTTGTGGAAAACGAATCGTTGGATATTACACAGGATGGGGAGAGCGAGAAATCACAGAAAACCAGCTGAAGAAACTGACTCATGTTATATTTGCATTTGTGGCAATGTATCTGGATGGAGGTGTCAAGTTTGGAGCAGTAAGTGAGGATGATTCGGGACCACAGGCAGCTGTGAAAGCGGAAAGGAGATTTTTGGATATGAAAAGGAAGGCGAGATCAGTGAATTCCGGAGTACGAGTGATTTTTGCAGTTGGTGGATGGGATAATTCGCAATATTTCTCGACAGTGGCAGCAGATCCGGTGAAAAGAAGGTGCATAAAGATTAATGAGAAAATTGAAGTTTTTTTTTTTAATTCCAGATCATTCATCGACTCGGTGGCTTCCTTCATTGAGCATCACCAAATTGATGGAGTGGATTTGGATTGGGAATATCCTGATATGAATGGAAAAGACAAAGCCAACCATGTGACTCTTACCCGAGAGCTAAGAGAACGATTCACGGAAATGCAGAAGGCGAAAGGAAGAAAAGATCCTTACATCATCACATTGGCATCTGCAGCTGGAGAATGGAACTTGAGAAAGGGATACGATTTAAGTGGAATTCTGAAATACGCAGATTTTATCAATGTGATGACTTATGATTACTACGGTGCATGGGAATCCAAATGGGGAGCATATACCGGACCACCTGCGCCACTCTATTTTGGAAGTTTGAAAGGATTTTCTGGGAAATTGAATGCAGACTTCTCAATGAGATTTTACACCTGTAAAACCAAGAAACCGAGTCTGTTGAATATGGGGGTTCCATTCTATGGAAGGTACTGGAAGAATGTTCTTGAACCAATAGACAAATCTGATGGTATGTGGAGGACTGCTGCGCCAAGTAATGGGATTTACGAAGGTGGATATGTGGCATGGAGGAATTTGGAAAAGGAAGGATGGAATAAAGCAGCAACTTCCTGGCATGAGAAAACCAAGACTATATTATGAATGCTGGAGCTAGAATGTTCCTTGGATTTGAGAACGAGAGGAGTTTAAAAGAAAAAATGAAGTATGCAACCGAGAGAAACCTGGGAGGCCTGATGATTTGGGCATTAGACCTGGACGACGACGCAGACACTCTTTTGAATTTGGTATCTTCTGCTGACTTGTGCTCCGAAGGAAGTGGAGATAAAGTGACGTACACATGTGTTCCAATAGATGAAGTCAGATGGTGGACACCTGAAAACTCAGATGAGAAGAAACAAGGTCAGTGTGGAAAATCCGCGCCATTAATCAACGGATTCTACCCTGTCTGTGACCCTGATGATCCTGGATTCTCGTGTTGTGGAGCTGCAGGTTACTGTGGAAGTGGTAAAGAATACTGCGATTGCAAAGGATGTGTTAACTATCGACAAGATCCAAATCTGATTCTGAAGGATCCTGTAAAGCCTACACGACCAATACAATGGTACACACAAGATGCACCAGATGGGAAAAGAGGAAGATGTGGTAAAGATGTACCCATGATCAATGGAGAGGTTAATTAGAAAATTTGATTAGTGAAGAAAATCAAAAAAAAATTTCAGATAGCAATCTGCAATCCGGACGATGACACAAAACATTGCTGCTCGAATGGTGGATACTGTGGAGTCGGGAAAGAGTACTGTAGTTGTGAAGGATGTATTGATTACAGAAATAAAAACTAATTGATTTTGTAAATAATTGTTGCTTTTGTTTATAAATGGTTTAAAAAAAGATAATTTATCATTTTTTCGAAATTTGTCAAGTTTGTAAGTTGGAAGTGTGCTCATTCAGGTAAACCGAAAATCATAAAAATCGAAAATCAATTATTTTGAATTTTTAACGGATTACTCAACAAGATTGTATGAAAAAGTTTCAAAAAACTGTAAATTTAGAACGTTGAAAGTTTGAAAAATCTGAAAAATCGATCAAAAAATGTTTTTGACGATTTTCAGCCAATTTTCAACCAAACTGCACAGGCGATTTCAAGTCGAACTTTAGTCAATTTCCAGAAATAAATTTTTCGAGTCCGAAATGTTTTGACTTTTCGAAAAGTTTTGAAAAACTAAAAAAATAACTAAGTCCCTGCACCTGCGATCTGAAAAAAAGGATCTTTAATTTTTCTGAAATGTGTTTTTTGTAGTTCCGTTTATAAAATACTACATACAATGATTATTGGTTATCCAGTCTGTGACACATAAAAACAAAACCAGACTTCGTCTTCATTCCTGACTTGACAGACTGATCATACACAAAACTACAGTAATCCTAAGATATTTGTAGGGAGTGTCTAGCAAATATAGCTTATATAAATACGAACAAGGAAAAACAATAAACGAGTGGTTCGAATGAATAATGCAAATGAAATTGCTTTTGCTTTGCTTCCGGTGAGTTTAAAATCCAAAAACCCGAGAAAAAACTATTTTACATCTAGATTTCGCTTATTGTTCAATTTTAAATTGGACCATTTTTTATGCAATCAATAAATTACAATCTTTCAATCTTGCATTTGGCTACTTATCAGCCAATCAAGCACTGGCTGATGCGTTACATTCCACTACGTTTCTACTCTATTTCTGTCCGATGGTCCTTCTGTAAGAAAACTTTACAAAATCGATTCTGAAAGTTTCGAAATTCAGAGATCAACCTCTCATGAAAGAATTCTCTCATTACTGTGGTTTCATTTTGCTTTTCTGCTACGAGCTCTCCGTTAAGATTCATTTAGCAATATCCATTAATCGGTTTTGCGCGGTTTGGGCGCCATACAAATATAAGCACATCTTCAGTGATAGAAACACCAAAATCTATATTTTTGGAATCTGGGTTTTTACTGGATCAGTTGCGGTTTTGTTCTATGAAAGTAAGGCCTATAATAGAAGGGACCCCACACTGTCAGGTTTGACCTCGATTATCTCCATTCCAATGAAAGATATCAAAAATGTGTCTTCTGACAAAACGCTGCTGATATTATCTTTCTTATATATAAAACGCTAAAAATGTCTGTTGGTCCTCATGTCATGTCCGGTTTTGAAAAGTTTGAAAATAAGTATAGATACGTTTCAGAAAACGTGAGAAGTGAAGCGACGAACCATTAAAACTAGATTGAATCGCTTCGAAGGCGCACCAGCCTTGTGATTGAAGCGCCGAAAGCGCGGTAAGCAGATGACAGTGATCAACAATTTATCAGTTTACATCTTTTTGATATTTATGACAGGAACCGAGATTAATTGGCTCAAAGATGAAAAAAGGCCCTCCTATTGCAGGGTTTCCAATATTTGACTTGTTATCAACTTGTTACGAAATTTCAGAGTTCTGTCATTTTTTCTACGACGATCAAATTCATTTCCTGACGTTTACCAATAACTCTTTCTGCGGATACATTGGTTGGTATGGAGATTTTCTAAAAAATGCGGCGATTGTGGCTGCAGTAGTCTCCATTGATATTTTTACAATTCTAAAAGTTCGGCAGATGTCGAAAAAGGTAAGTTAAACTTTTCAATATGAACATATTTCTCCACCCAGATGTTTCAGGTTGTCTCCAATATCAGCAACCAGTCCCAAAATAACCTATCTCATCGTGAAGTTCGATTCTTAAAGCAGACAGTAACCCAAGGGGCTGTTTTTATGCTGGAACTGTTGACCTATTTTTTCGTCCCATTATATTTTGAAAACAAATGGATTGTCTTTTTTGGAACATCATTTGCTTGGGTGGCAGTTCATGCTGTTGATGGGTATGAAATACTTGAATTCGTTAATCAAAATATGTTTTAGTATGGTTGTGGTATTGCTAAATTCAGAAGTGAGATCATTTCTTATTGGGCAACGATCGAAAAGCCATGGACCATCGACAAATCGGGCAACGGCGAATTAAAATTTGAAATGTGCACTGAAATACATCCGAATGATTAAAAGTTTGTTGTTTCTTATCAGTAAATTTTGAGCAAAATTTTTCCATTTTGTTGTTCGATAAATATAATAGGATTGAACGTATTCTATTTTTTGAAACCTCACCCCGAACTACCGTAATACATGTAATAGAAGACACTGTAAAAATTGAGCTCAATTATCTCTGTTCCTATGAAAGATATCAAAAATCTATCAACAAATAAAATGTTTGTGATATTATGATGAACAATTTATCAGTTGGCACCTTTTGTACATCTTTCCCAAGAACCGCGGTAAATTTTCTCAAAAGTTCAAGTTAGGAGACCTTCTCTTAGGGTACTTCTGTATGCCAAAAATACCAAAGTCTGACCATAACCCGCTATACAGCCGTTTTTAGGCTTCCAACCTTCAAAAAATTCATGACAACACCTCCGATTAGCTTGATCTGTTCCAAGTTATTGTACAGGGATGAGAGATTTGAAGTTGTTGAAGCTTTCATGGAGTCTCGCAACGTGTCAATTTCATTGTACGTCTTCTGAAGCGAAGCGTTCAACCCATTGATTTTGGCGAAGATATCTGGATCGAATTCTTTGGAAATCGAATTGATTTTTGCCTCATCTAACAGCAGCTTTTGCTCCGACGCCTTCAGCATTCCTGTCATAACTCTACTGTATGAACCAATATTCTGAAAATCTTGCAACAAATCCTTCAAATCAATCAATGCATTTGCTTTAGTTGAATTAGAAACTGCATTGAGAGATTTTTCGAAAGTATTCAATTTTGTTATTAGATCATTGAGTCTGGTGGCAACCGGACCGAAACTCTCAATTTTCATGGATCGAGCTTCACGGAGGACTTTTATCACGTCTTCAGCTTTTTCGAGTTCTGGAGTTTTCTTCAGAATATCTACCATCTTGGCGAAAGGATCCAACTCTGACACAAAGATGTTTACCTGATCAATATCTTTGATAACTGCATCAAGAGGTTCCACAATAGAAGCGCCCATTTTAAGCATATCGATATGTGGCTTTAAGGATAAAATCGTTCGAGAAAGGTCTTGATATTCTTTCGCTTCTTTTAATTTCTTCAGATTCTCTTTAGAGTATGACGAGGTAAGACTGATGATTGTTTGAACTTCAGATTTTCTTTTCGTGTTGAATTCAGAGAATGTCGCTAGGAGCTGATCTGTTGAGATCAATTTGTCGGCCAACTCTTTTATGTTTCTATAAAGAGCCATATAACCATCGCCATTTTTTGGTAAAGTTATAGATTGCTGAGCATCTTTTGGAATGGTAGTCAATTTAACGGCAACAGAAGAAATTTTGGGTTTTGTCTGAGCCAGCTTCTTCAGTTCGGACGCAACCTTGTTCGTTGTGAGGACACTATCAGAACCTAAAGCATCCGAAACAGAGCGAGCGTTACTTGCTATTGTTTTCAACTGGTCCATAGCCAACTTCGATGCTTGCCCATGTAAGACTTCTTTTACCCAGGTATCTGTCAGATCAGAATGAATTGATTCTAGATCACTGAACCCATTCGAAAAGCCAGAAGTCTGTGATAGGGCTCTTCCTGCCGAAAAGTGGATGCGAGACGAAAAAATCTGTTTGAGGAGAGTCAACTTCACAAGAAACTCATTTGATGAATCGATTGCGTTTCCTAGTTTTTGCAACTGACTTTGGAGAGCGCTGAAAGCGTCAGGATCCTAGCGTTGAAGTAGTTATTCGCATCATTCCAGATATTGGCACTGTTCGGAAATGAGCTCAAAGTGTCAAAGGTCTCAGTTTTCCGGAGAATGTCAGCTTTGAGAGCACCTGTTTGGATAGAAAAGTCATTCTCTTGAAATGTTTCACAGCCTAATTTCAATTGCTTGAAAAGATATTGACCAATTTTCTGCTCTGATGGCTTCAACGCATTAATAGTATTTGATAAGTCTGCGAAGATTTTCACCATCGAGTTCAATTTATTCCAGTCAACGTTGCTTGCTTTCAGCTTTTTTGCCGCTTCTAGATAATTCGGATCCAGTTTTTCCACTTTCTGGCCTTTATGAGTTTCTTTGTAGATTGACCCAAGAATAATCAACCGGTTCTCTATCTTAGTAAGCTCATCGTCCACTTTTAAGGAGATTGAAAAGTTTCGGATGCTATTAACCAACTGAGACAACTCGCCTGTGTTAAAGTCATAAATTTGAGAAGGGGTGATGGATCCAAAGTTCAGAAGTTCAGAAATGAAGACGTCAGCCGGAAGAGTTTGATTGGTGAGACCTTGTTGAAGAGAGATTCCGTTGATGATTCGAGCGAACTTTTGGAGTTTGTGGATTGTGGGAGCGAATTCCTCTGGAAAACAAAGATTTTGATTTGGAGAGATTTTCCCATGCTAAAGGATTTTATAATTCTTCTGAAACTAACCATTTGTAGAACGTTGAGAACGAAGTTTGTCGGGAAATTTCCCAGAGAAAAAATGGAACACGACATGCTAGCAAACGTGGAACGTCAAAATAAATTTGTAGGGTTGGCTTGGGGGCGAGGGTTGGCTTGGGGGCGAAACGGGGCTTTAACTTTGACTCAATTTATCTCGGTTCCTGTTAAAGATATCAAAAAGCAGTCAATTTACAAAATATTTTCGACATTATAATTAGCATTTTGTCAGTTTACCACTTTTTGATATCTGACACAGGAACCGAGATAAATGAGCTCAAAGTTGGCAATTTGGTGGGATCTATAAGATTTTCAGGACATTATCAAATATTTACAATGTGAATTTTTCTTTATAAAATAATACTTGTACGAACATTTAAACGAAACATTTTTGTTAAGAATTTTTCCGTTTCCAGAGCTCAGAAAAAAATTTTGCGATGATTGGAACCTTTTCAACTTACAACTTCAACGGTTTTTTGTTTTTTTTTTTCAATTTCAACTCTGGATGCACTATATCAATTTTTATCAGCCTAACACACGACCCAATTTTTTGTATATTCCTTATCTCCCCACAGAGGTCATTCCAAAAAAGTCTAGACTACAAATACACCCCCTTGTTTCTCTTTTTCAATGATTTTCGATGTTGGCAAACAATTTACTTTTTTCGCATCTTTTTAAACCTTTGTAGCAACAGACCCACTGGTTGGCAACGTTCAGTCACTTCCTCCGCTAGCAAGCCCCCTAAAATAAACTTCCAATAAGTCAAATTGGTCTTTGCCAGTGCAAAATGCTCCAATTTCTTCTTCTTTTCATTTCTTTCACATTATTCTATATCTCTAACACTGCTAGTGTGGATTCCTCAGCTTCTGGAGTCTTGTGCAGTGTGTCAGTAGGTAGAGATGAATTGAAGTGTTACATGGTAAGTGAGAGAGTGTGATCCAATGATTATATCGTCAAACCTGTAATAGAAGTGCTGATTTCATGATACACAATTTATTAGTTTGCAACTTTTTTATATCTTTGACAGGAACCAAGATATATGAGCTAAAGATTTCAAATTAGAGGGCTTTTCTATTATAGGTTTTACGATAGCTGTTTTTATTGTTTCAATATCTTCAGAGGCTTCTAGAAATGACCCAAACAACTGTGACAACAGACTGGAAGAGTCGCTTTGAAGTCGAAGAATTCCGAACATCTTGCGATCACATCCGCGACTGTTACGAATCAATGAAGTGCAGAAAAAACGACACTGACATTCTACAAGCTCGAAAGAGCACTAAAGGCTATTGCGATAGAATGCTATTCATGTCTGACAATTTCCCGGATTGCATTCAGAAATTGAATAACAAGAATTCGCAGTGCTGGCAGAAATACATCCCAGTACCAGGATACTCTTGTACCGACATCTTTGGTGCCAAGAATTGTGTGAAGTCTGATGTTGAGAAGATTTGCGGGAAAAGTGAATGGATTCGGTTTAGAGATGTTAGTTCTGGAAAGTCATTTCTGAAGAAATGAAGGCTAATTTCAGGGAATGATTGCTCAGCAAAAATCTGCTCATCCAGATTGCAACTTTGATGAATTTGAGACCTTGTAAATTATTTTTAAGTGTGACTTTTCTCAATAAATGAAGATATTGGTTTTTAAATTGTGCCAAAATTTGCGCTTCAAAGTTAGGTATCTGTTGACAATGACTCAGTTCGTGCAAACAATATCACGTGTGTGCCATTCGGCTTTTCAACAGTTTGACCTTCTCCGCAGAGCATTGACCTACTTTTTTAGAGAATGTTGAGCGTTTTTGTCTTGCTCTTAGCAGGATTTGCTCATGGAGCAAGTGTGAATGCGAAACTGGCTAAATGTGGGTACTTCAACATCCGTAACGACATACAATGCGGTCAGGTAAGAGATCCAAAATGGTAGATCGACTTGAATCGTTTTCCAGGACATTATAAACTTCTCCCTAAAAGGGGTATCAATTTTTTGGAAGAATCCTGCGGAAATTCAAAAATTCCAACAAGCATGCGATAATCTTCAAAGCTGTTATGCTTCCTTGGCATGCCGAGACGAAGATTGGCATATAAATCAAGTCACTCAAAATATGCAAGCATACTGTAACAGTATGGTTTACCTGACAACCGACTTCTCTGGTTGTATGCAAAAATTGAACAGTAGAAATTCACAATGCTGGATGAACTATGTCCCAGTGAATGGAGATTTCTGCTCGAACGTTTTTGGATATAACTATTGTGTGAGATCAGAAATAATCGGAGTTTGTGGACAACAAGAATGGATTGGGTTCAGAGATGTAAGTTGATGCAAAAAACAACGAAAAAGAGGTAAAAGAACGGATAAACGGATAAAAAAACGGTTCGGCCCCCAAATTGCCCGCGGTATGTCCGGGGTATCAGGTTCCTGTGATAAAATAAAAGAAAATCAACAAGAAATGTAAGAAAATCGGTTTATTATGAACAAGTCAGAAAGAAAGAACAAATAAAATCTTAGAATTCAAGCAAACTCACTTAAAATCCTTAAAAGAGTCTCTAGCACAACTACGAGCCAAATCCAAGCTCGCAATCACTCAAAACTAAATTCAAACTGTGCGCGCGCCGAGCGGGATAGCGGAGTGTCGTTGCGTGGTTAGAGGGAATCTTTAGAAGGGGGTGGAGGGTAACAGAGTAACTGCACCAGGTAACTGGGATAATGATTTTTTTGAAATAAGAAATTATATTTTCAGAACATGATCAACTTGTTGTCTGTTGTCTCACCAAATTGCAATTTGGATCAGTTGAGAAATCTTTGAACATAGAATTTAAAGGAAATCGTTATTATTGTGGAAAAGTTTGAATGAATAACGTTTTTTCAAAAGAAGTTTATTACTTAAAAAGGGTGAAACATGATTTTTTGAACAACAAAGATTCATAAAGACGGATTGATGTCTAACTGAACTTCTGGAGAACTAGCTTGGAGCATCTGGTACTGAGCAATGAGATTGGTGAAGTATTGAAAATTCATTTGATGAGCAATCCGAAACCAATCCATAGTGATGTTTTTGGAAGGGGATGCCGAAGACGATCCAGAACTGAAAAAGTAACGGATTAGACTATGAGAAATCAGTTAGAATCTTTACGTTTAAGATTCAATGGAATATTAAAGGATGCAATATATATTTCATTGAATAGTGTAGGATGCGTTAAAGATGACGAGGAGTCTTGAAGAAAGTGCAGATAGATCTGAAAAAATTAGAGACGCCCCATATTCCAGGGACCATGAGTATTTCTCTATAATTCTAGGTAACACTAGAATTTTCTTTACTAACCTTCCGGAATCCGAAAAGAGAATACGGTCGATACTGAAGGGAGGAGATTCCTTGTTTTTATCATTCGGAGTGGCCACAGAAGAAGTGAAAGTGTCAGATTGAGAATCGATCGAAGAATCTAGAAAACGCCAACTGCAGAGTCTACCTTCCACCTTCTCCAATCCATCACGGTCCTTGCAGAATTTCCGAAGCGATTTGCACATGTTGTCATAGGTCATCTTGGCCTTTCGTCCTGGTTTGGTGGCTCCCCATATCTCGGCAACTTTGTGTTGATCCACGAATCGAAACTCCATCTTTGACTTGTCGGTCCAGCGAATGATGTCACTTTTGGATGGATCATCGAGTAGTCCACGAAGAAATGGTTGGAGACAAAGCTTCTTGGTTTTTGGCATTTTTGGAAAAAAGCTAGCAAGAAATGGAGACAGTAGAAGCTACTCACCGATTACGAATTATGTAAGAATGACCCAACCTAAATTCTGCAATCTCCAAGATTGAAAGGCGTGGCTAACCGGATGTAATTTGACATGGGAAAGTTGGCTATAAGAAATCAGTCATGGGAAAATCCCGATCCATGGAAAAATTCCGATATTCCCATGAGTACCCCCCATGGGAAAATGAGTCCAACCGGAGATAAGAAGGGGGCGGGGCGACACCTGACAAACGGACCAAACATAAAGGACTCTGGTTCCGGTATGATGTGAAGGGAAATATACTGTTTCCCATACACCGCCATGGGAAAAAGGGCGGTGCAAAACATTTTTATTACCAGGGACCCTCTGCCAGGTAGCAGTATGGGTAAGAGGTACACGAAACAATCCTAGAAGATATAACAACTCAGAAAAAAACTTCAGGTACTGCTCTTCATAATACTGTACTCCTAATAATTTGTGCTTACAATAATTTTGCATCTGCTATCTCTCATTTCAACCAACCTAACACCAATTTTGGTTTCATTATGAAAGGGTCCCCAACGCTGTCACGTTTGAGTTCAATTGTCTCAATTCCTATGCAAGATATCGAAAATATGTCAACTGACAAAATACTTCAGATGCTATGATAAACAATTTATCAGTTGGTGTTTTTTCACTATCTTTCAAAGGGACCGAGATAAGTAAACTCAAACTTGAGAGTGTTGGGCCCTTTTATTACAGGTTTCGCGACATCTCTACGATCATAATGCTCCTTGGAAATGAACCGTATCCCAGTACATTTTGTTCTAATCAAAATACACCGAGTGATCTCAATTTCTGATTTGTGCCCAAACATTCAGTTCAAAAGTTTAAAAACCCCAGACTCCATACGGTACTGTGTTTGCTCTTTGACAAAACCACACCGCTAAATCTTATCAAAACTATGAGTAACCAATTATTTCATAAGTTTTTTTTTGCGCTGAGAAATACTATAAATAAAGGGATGGGGGAAATGAAAATGAGTCCATTCAACATGCTCCTAGTAATTCTAGTGTCTTTTTTGGCTCATTATTGTGTCGGTGCTCCGAGGAACAATGATTTTGGATGGGGAGCTAATAGTGGCTGGTACAACTGGCCCGGTCAGTCATTTGGAAGAGATTCCAACTGTGGTGTCAGAAGAGATGCATGCCTGAAGGTAACATAGTTTAAACATCCATTTTAGCTTAAATGAGCTATTTCAGGATCAAGGAAATGTTCTGAAACGTACTGAGTCTACAAACTGGAAGAGTTGGGATGCAGTCCAATCATTCAGCAGTTCCTGTGACTCTCTCCAAAACTGCTATTCCAATATGGGATGTAGAGCGAACGACTGGGACGTACAGCTCATAAAAGAGAGATGAAAACTGTCTGTGACAGATATCTCTACATGCCAATGAACTTTGCCGAGTGCTTCCAAAAGTTGAACAGCAAGAATTCGCAATGTTGGCAGAACTACATTCCAGTTCCACATACTTCATGTTCAAACTTGTTTGGGCAGGATAATTGTGTAAAATCTGATATCGTAGAAGTTTGTGGTCAAAGTGAATGGACCAGGTTTAGAGATGTGAGCTGATCATGGAAATAATTTATATTCGAATTTCGAATTTTCAGAAAATGATCGTCCTGATGACTTCTATGCATCCTCTATGTGTCTTCAATACTGATCTCTAGCTCTCTTTAACTGTACGATTTGTATCTTTGCCAATAAAGCTCAAAAATCCAGTCTGCATACTTTCTTTGACCTACATTTCAAAACGACACGTGTCCAATTTTGCCCATTCCCTCTTTTTTTCGGCATTTATCGATTTGTCCCATCTTGATAAAATCTGAAAATCTTCCGATTAAAAAGGGGAGTCAATCTTCTAAATCTTGAATTTTTGATATTCGAATTTCATTAAACACTCTTACGACTAACTCGCTTTGAAGCATCATGACAACTGAAACACTGTGAGTTTTTATTACCTGTATTAGAAGGGCCCCCACATTGCGCTCATTCATCTCAATCTCTATGCAAGACGTCAAAAATGTGTCAACTGATAAAATAATTGTGATATTATGATAAACATTATATCAGTTGGCAGGGCCGGCCCGCTTGCCTTAAAACCCTCGGCCCGGCCCGGCCCGCTCGGCCCGCCTAGGACAACTTTCCGAAAATGTTACTTTTCAAATGTGCCAATATATTTTTAATATCACAAATATTAATCCAAATGCATACAACCATCCGAAAAAGTCAATTTGATTGAATTTTTAGCAAAAAAATCAAACTTCATTAAGCCAAGGATGAAATTTTTTTCTAAAAACGACCTCAAAACAGTTTTTTTTGACAGAATCGTCCTCTAGTGTGGATTTTTGTTTATTAAGGAGAAAAGCCATCTTGAAAAATGATTACTTGCTCTAAAATTTCGAAATTTTCAAAAAGCGGGCCGGCCATGTGTAATTTTTTCCGGCCCGACCCGGCCCGATTTCAGAAAAATCTCAGCCCGGCCATGGCCCGGCCCGGCCCGGCCCGGCCCGGTCCGGCCCGCGGGCCGGCCATCTTTTCCACAAGTATGGGTTTTATGGTGATCGAGATTTCTCAATTTCAGAAACTTGTCTCGCGAAACCAAACGTGCATTTCGAGCTGGCAAGTTTCCGGAGCATATCATCAAAAAAGACATGATCCGAGAGATGACATGCACCATCGACTGTGCTCCAGGGACACCAAACTACAAAGAATTCAAAGTGACCGAGGGAATGTTGTTCCAAAAAGTTCCAGACTGTATGACACCACCCCTGGAATACTGTGACCATTTGCTGAAAATCAATGGGAAGGCTGTAACAACGAAACGAGAAATGCAAGAAGCCATTTTCAAACTTGCCAAGTCAAACAAAGCTCACTATCTGACTTTCACATTTCGCCGAATTATCAGTGTGATAAGGCTAAACGATCGGGATGTCCCATCAAATGCAGCTATTCTGAAACCCGACTCGGATCCCAGTGATGTCTCTCAGAAAACGAACAAGGGATACATTTACTACAAAGTGGTTTTGATCTACTTTCCACGAAGCAAACTTGGAATGAGTGTGAAGTCTTATCAGAATGTGGTGGGTCAAAAAATGGGCTATTTTTCGAAAGCTGCCTTTTTTCAGGTCTATGTGGAATCCACAGATAACAATTGGGGCTCTACTACTCGCCGTTTTCTCTACTTGGGAGATGCAATTCTAAAAGTGGACGACACTGAAATCAACGATATTATGACTGCTCAAGGAGCTATTCGAAGTGGATTCCAGAAAAATGGAACTATAACTCTAATTGTGGAAAGAGCCAACCAACAACTCTCAAGCTCCTTCGTCCGTGCTGTTCTTAACTTTAATAAAGAACCCGATCCTTCTATGCCAGCTGACGTTATTGCGGCTTGCGCGTAAGACTTTGAGACTTGGTACACATTTTTAAAGATTCTCCGTTTCTTTTCAGTAAACAATTGGCTCGTTACGACAAAACTGGGTTAACTGAGCCCGTCTCCATTTATCGAGGCTACACGAAAAGCTACAAGACGGCAGCACGAGCTACTGTGACCAAAAAAGTGGATAAGAAGAATATTCGAAGCGAGCATCTGTTTCCGGGAGCCCTTCAGAAAGTATCTGAATTCAAGGAGAACCAAAGATTGGAAGCAGAAAAGAGAAAAGCTAAATAAAGTTTTTTTTTGCATATCTCTTATTTAATCTGTTCTAATCGAAATGAAGTTTTTGTCTTAGTTCAACATTTTTTTTTGCTTTTCATTCCGATCAAACATCAAAAAAAGTTTTTATCTCGTGATTCAAAAACTGGTGGGATAAAAAATTGTTCCTTCTATTTTTTCTTTTGTTTTTAGCTGTTCACATCCACAGATCAAATCAACAATAGCCCACACAATGTTAATTATATTTTCGCTTTCTTTTTTTAATGATATCAGATTATTTTCTAGAGCCAGGAGTTGATTTATAAATCGGGTTTTCTCACACAGAATTCTGCCTCGAGGCACATTGGAGCAGCAGCAGAGTCTTCTTCCCCACAAAAATGACTCACGCCTTCTGGATAGCCATTATTTTTTCCTGCTTTCTCTACTCTCATGGAATAGTCTTAAACTATCAAAATTGCGGAATCATCAGCCTTCGAGAAGACTTCAAATGTATTTTGGTGAGTTGATATTCAATAATACCGTAAGACATGAAATAGAAGGGCCCCCAAACGTTCAAGTTTAAGTCGATTATTTTTCGGTTCCTGTCAATAATATAAGAAAGAGGTCAACTGATAAATGTATATCATTTTTTAATATATTTCAAAGGAAACGAGATAATTGAGCTTAAACTTTACCACCTCTGCTCCTTTAATTGCTGAAAAATCAACCTAAATTACTTGTTTCCAGAAACTGGTCAATTTCAACGATGAGCTTAGCAAAATCAATCAGAAGGTGTCGGCTAAATACCTCCGAGGGTTATGGAACTCTTGTGAGTATCTCGAGACGTGTTATTCAAACTTGGAATGCAAGAAAAACGATGTGGATGTTCGGAGAATTGCGAGGAACATGAGATCGTTCTGCTTCAAATTGAACCAACTTCGAAACTTTTGAGATTGGTTTTTGCTTTAAATGAATAAACTTTTCCGGATGTTGTTTGAACATATATTTAATTCGAAAAAACATGAATTCAGAGCTTTAAAAAACCAGTAAACCTGTAATAAAAGGGCCCCTCCACACTGTCAACTTTGAGCTCAATTATCTCGAATCCTATGGGGTCTTACTGTACAAAGCACAGTTCTTGTTTTTTCGGATTTCAGTCATTCACATAAAGATTACGGTAAAAATACTTAGAGCTGAAACATCTTGGCCAGCTCAGTAGGGCAAACTTTCCAGTGGTTAGGCAGCCTGCCCAATCCTTCATCCCTATACATGTGCTTTGAGCTTGATTATCTCTGTTCCTATAAAAGGTATCAAAATTTTGTCAGCTGATAAAATGTCGGTGATTATATGACAAACAATTTATCAGTTGACAGATTTTTGATATCTTTGACAAAAACCGAGATAAATTGGCTTAAAGTTAAAAGTTGCGGTGGGCTGCTGTTAGAGCATGTACGGTAGGTTTTGTGTTCACAAGAGCACTAGGAGACGAAATCCTTTTCAAAATAGTGCAGTTTGGGTTACGGTAAATCTTGCATTCTTTTCCAAATCCAAACTTCACTCAACCCATCTAATTTCTATTGTTGACATTTCCCACATAGGTGCTTTGTTTTAACATTATCGCTGCCCACCTCTCAAATAAACACCCACAATGTTCTCTGCTAATCTATTTCTTAGATCTTCATATAAAGACAAAAGAAATGCTCAAAAAGAGAAACAATGACTTCCTTAAATTTTCTTCTAACTCTGGCTATAATTGTTCTTGCTCATGGACAAGAAGTTCAAGAGTCCAAGAAAAATTGTGGTACATTCCAACTGATGAAAGAGGATATGAGATGCGTGTTTGTGAGTTTTTTCTAGCGTTTCTTCCTTTTTTCAAAAGATTCTTTTCTAGAAACAAGTATCGTTCTCTAAAGATCTCTTGATGCTGGCTTGGTCTGATTTCAAGCAAGTTGACAAGTTCCGACAAGCTTGCTCTTCCCTTCAAGAATGTTATGCTTCATTGGAGTGTCGAAAAAACGACAAGACCTATGTTGAGGTGGCAACAAATATGCAAGGCATTTGTGATGGTTTACTGTATCTATCCACCGACTTCGTGGAGTGCAAAAAGAAGATTGATAGTTTGGAGGACAAGTGTGAAGTCGGAGAAAAATGTGAAACGATTTTTGGTGAGAACAATTGTGCAAAGCCAAGGATTATCGAGCAGTGTGGGAAAGAGCAGTGGGAAACGTTTAGAGAGGTAGGGAAAAAAATAAGGAAGTTTGGATTCTGGAATTTTTCAGGCTGTCATAAATATTCGTAAATCAAGGATTCCAGAATGTAATTTTGATCAATATCGGGATTAGATCGTGACTACTGGCTGACTCAATTCTTCAGAATTACCGTACAAACAAAGTATATTTGAATTTTGATTTTATAGTGTTAATAATTTTTTTCAAAACTGCTGTTAGCACTTGTACGAACCTTATCCGACTTACTGACCAAAGAATGATTTTCTGCATCGTTTCCCATACTGATTCCTGGCAGTGATTCATTCATAATAAAAAAGTTTTGCACCGCCCTTTTTCCCATGACGGTGTATGGGAAACAGTATATTTACCTTCACATCATACCGGAACCAGAGTCCTTATCCTCAGGTCCGTTTGTCAGGTGTCGCCCCGCCCCCTTCACTTCTCTTTACCTGTTGGACCCATTTTCCCACGGGGTACTCATGGGAATACTGGAATATATTTTATTTTTAAACATTTTTTTTTCCCATGACTGATTTCTTATAGCCAACTTTCCCATGTCAAATTACATCCGGTGAGCTTCGCCTACCAATCTTGGAGATGGCAGAATTTAGGTTTGTTCATTCTTACCGAATTCTGTCGTCGTAATCGGTAAGTTTCTTCTGCTCTATCGATTTCTTGCTAGCTTTATTCTAACAATGCCCAAATCCAAAAAGCTCTGTCTTCAACCCTTCCTCCGTGGACTACTCAATGATCCATCCAAAAAATACATCATTTGCTGGACCGACAAGTCGAAGATGGAGTTTCGATTCGTGGATCAACACAAGGTTGTCTTCAAACTTTTTTTCTACTTCTCTGTAGTTCTAAAGATCGAAGGGCATTTTTCGCTTGTTCTTCGGGAATCACCAAACTGCACATTCAAATAGAAAACATCCCAAAAGACATGGGATAGATTCTTTACACCACACACAAAGACATGCATTTCCGCTTCAGTTTTTTTCCTTTTCTCGTGCTCGAAACCCCATTAAGCCGTCCCATTTTTCAAAAAAATCTCTATTATCCGATCGCCAGAGCACACCAACGTCATAATATTACACTGAAGTTCGGCATAAACTTCTGGTTCCCTTTGGTTCATGTTTTGAGGAACTTTGCCGGAAGAATCCATGATGGTGGTTTCTAAGGATTCCATTCTCATAGCTATACTCCTCATCTCATTTGCTCCAGGAGCATCTTGCTTTTTGGAAGGAAGATACTCGTCGAATTGCACGTTCTGGGAGTATATCCGAGACGATTACCGTTGTATCTTTGTGAGAAAACACTTTTTGTCTTCATGAACCATTTTCTCGTTTCAGGAGTACCTGGCCTATGCCAGGGATGTCACCGCAATTGAGACCTTCGGATCACAGAACCTCAAATCTCTTGAAAGATCGTGCTCAGCAGTTGAATCCTGCTTCCTGGATAAAAAGTGCCACGACATCAAATCTCTGAGAAAAATCAAAGCGGTTTGCAAACAAGTACTGTACTTCAACTCTCCAACGTTTGTGGAATGTGAGAGAAATGTGGCGATGTTCAACGCTACTTGTGCTCAAGGAACTGGATGCGAGTACTTTGGTGTTGATAATTGTGCAGTCCCTATAATAAAAATTGTGTGCGGACAAGAGAAGTGGGCTGAGTATAGAGATGTGAGTTATATATGAAGTTGATAGATATATAAAAAGTATTTTTCAGTTGATTTTTTGCCTTTTAAGAGACTACAGCTCGGCTGTCCGGTCATTTTGAAAATTCAACATGGCGTAAAACAGACTTTGCATTCACAGAATTTTTCAAAAATTCCCAGTTTTTCAGCTACTTGGCGATATCTAAAAGACGCCTGTATTTTGGCAAAAATCAACTGAAAAACATCGATTTTCAAAATCTGATTGATCGGTATTGTAAATTGATTTTCAGGCTATCATAACGGCGTATAGAGGCACCGAAAACAACACTGATTGCGATTGGGAGATGATGAAGACATTCTAACTCCATTTGATGTCTTAAAGGGGGACTTCGACCAGAAATTTTTATTGCATTGAAATGTGTTAAAATTTATCTATTTTTCAAATATTATTGCGAAAAAATTCAAAGAAAATCCGAAATCCCCGAAAAACGGCGTTGAAAAAAAAGAAAATTCAAAAAATGGTGCCGCCGGGGGACGAGGATTTTCAGTGAGAAACCTAGGCCACGGCACCGGCCCATACTCCGAGGGTACATCGAAAAAGGGTACATCACTCTTATAGGGTACATTGACTCAGAGGGTACATTGACTGATAGGGTACATCTGTGGAGGAGTCTGATAGGGTACATTTAAGCAACTCTCATAGGGTACATCGACGAAATACTCAAAGGGTACATCGAAAAAATCTGAAAGGGTACATTGGTCTGATTTCGCACAGTTTTCGAATGTTCGTAACTTAATGAGACGGACAAGTTTTATAACGAAGTTTCGGTCATTCATCGGATTATAAGCAACTTACTGATGCTCGGCGAGGTTTTGCAACGTGCTCCTCCTCAATCTTGAATAGTACGCGCTCATTTCTCGATCACTCAGGAACGCTATTTCAAAACAATTTTAGTAATTTACCCGCATTCTGAAAGCTTGAGCAGCGAGCTACACTTTTTTTCTAGCCCAGGAAGATAAATAACTTCAAACAGATACAATGAAAGATACAATGTTCGTCCCTAAGTGATCGAGGAATGAGCGCTTACTATTCAAGATTGAGGAGGAGCACGTTGCAAAACCTCGCCGAGCATCAGTTAGTTGCTTATAATCCGATGAATGACCGAAACTTCGTTATAAAACTTGTCCGTCTCATTAAGTTACGAATATTCGAAAACTGTGCGAAATCAGACCAATGTACCCTTTCAGATTTTTTCGATGTACCCTTTGAGTATTTCGTCGATGTACCCTATGAGAGTTGCTTAAATGTACCCTATCAGACTCCTCCACAGATGTACCCTATCAGTCAATGTACCCTCTGAGTCAATGTACCCTATAAGAGTGATGTACCCTCAATGTACCCCTTTTTGATGTACCCCCGGAGTATGGGCCCACGGCACCTGACAGCCTTTTTTTTCAAGTCGCCGACAGTGGTTTTTTTTACGTTTTTTACCTGCCGGACATGAAATTGAAAAAAATCCGGAAAATTTGCCACATAGGAAAGGCGCCCGCTGCCGTGGCCTAGGTTTCTCACTGAAAATACTCGTCCCCCGGCGGCACCTTTTTTTGAATTTTCTTCCTTTTCAACGGCGTTTTTTGGGAATTTCGGATTTTTTTTGAATTTTTTCGCAATAATATTCGGAAAATAAATAACTTTTAACACATTTTAATGCAATAAAAATTTTTGGTCGGAGTCCCCCTTTAAATCAGTTGAATACCCCATCCTTTACGTGTACTTTGAGCTAGATTATCTCGGTCCCAATGAAGATATCAGTAATCTATCAACTGATAAAATATTGGTGATATTATGATAAACTTTTTTTCGTTGACCACTTTTTGATTTCTTTGACAGAGATAACTGAGCTCAAAGTTCACATACCGTAATAGCAGCCCACTCGAACCGTCAAATTTGAGCTTAATTATCTCAAATCCTGTTATAGATATCTAAAAGGTGTTGACGGATAAAGTATTGATAATATTATGATAAAAATTTTATCAGTTGTAAAATTATAAAAACCTGTCATACGAACCGAGATAATTGAGCTCAAAGTTGATGATGAGGGTGGGCTTCTATTCGAGCAAATAAGCAAATAATGTTATTTTCGTCTGTTGTATTTTGACAAAAAAAAGTTTTTTCTCGGTTATTTTGAAACTAATTAAGATGGTAAAAATAAAATAAATTAGTTGTTTGATGAAACGATGCTTGTCAGATAAAAAAACATTCGTGCTCATTTCCTGTTGACCGTTGGAATTAGGTTCGTATCACAGACCACCAACGCATGTATCAAATAAACAAAACCCGTTTGCTAATCGTCGGCCTAACATCCGTATTTTTTGAACATAAAAAGACTATCATGTCCCTCTTTTTTCTCTGTCCTGGCACCATGCTCAATTCTCTAACATTCCTCGCCTTTCCAGCTTTTTTGATAATTTCTATTTCTACAAAAAGCGCACCAAAATGTGAATCCTTGAACTTCCGGAGGAATACGAAATGTTTATTTGTAAGTGATTCGATTGCTTCAGAATCCAAAATTTACAACTTCAGTGTTTCAGAAAGAAATTGTTCTAGCTAATGACATAGTTGTGAGCAACTTGTCCGACAAACAGGTTCTTGAAAAGCTTCACAGCTCCTGTGAATCCCTTAAAAGGTGCTATGAGACGATGCCTTGCCAGAATCCTGAAGTGATTCAGAAAGTGAACAAATTGAAATTGGTGTCAGAAAGTTTCACTTTCCTATCAGAAAACTTTTTGGTTTGTTCTCAAAAAATTGAAAATATGAGAGGAAAGTGTAAGCCACGGACTACATGCGACAACATGTTTGGAGATAATAATTGTGCAAAAGAAGGAATCATTAATAAATGTTCCAAAGACGAGTGGATTGGATTTAGAGATGTGAGTTTTGGCAGGAAGTTTAAAGAATGTATTACTGCCTTTGCTCTAAGAGACGCTATGTGCAATCTGGGCTCAATTATCTCGGTTCCTATGAGAGGTATCAAACCTTTGTTTACTGATAAAATATTTATCATGGTATTGCCAATATTTTATCAGTTGGCAGATTTTTGATGTTCCTTCCAGGAACCGAGATAATTAAGCTCAAAGTTGACGGTTCGAGTGGGCTGCTATTAGAATGCTTACGGTATGTGCACTTTGAGCTGAATTATCTCGACTCTTGAAAAAAGTATCAAAAAGTAATCAACGGATAAAATGTTCATCATAAAATTACTAATATTTTATCAGTTGACAAATTTTCGATATCTTTCATAAAAAGCGAGATAATTGAGCTCAAAGTGAACGCAATAAACAATTAACTTTTCAGAGCATGATCTGGATAATGAGCCTTGTTGACCCACATTGCAGCTTGGAGAGGTATCGAAAAATTTAATTTAATTTATAACTTTATTTAAATTCAAAGATTTCAATATTCCAAATTATTTAATAAAAGATTTATATATTTTTTTTCCGAATCTTCGCTCGAACGAATTTTTGAAGGGACGATCGTTTGACCGTTCGTAGCATAAAATTTGGTGGCCTAGAAAAGTTAGGCCACCATGTTACAATGGCTTAGAAAAAAACATCAGATGAGTATCTTTTCGTTCCTAGGTAATTTACTATAGTGGTCTAAGAAAAATCATTTTGAAAAAGTTAGGCCACCATGATAGATGGCCTAGAAAACACATCAGGTGAGTATCAGGCCATTTCTAGGTCATAAAAGTTGGTGACCTAGAAAACTCAATTTGGAAAAGTTAGACCACCCTGTTGACATGTCCTAGGAAACACACCAGGTGAGCGTCATGCCGTTACTAGGTCATTACCATGGTGGCCTAAAAAACTCAACTTGGAAAAGTTAAGCCAAACGGCTTAGAAAACCCACCAGGTGCATGTCAGACCATTTCTGGATCTTTAACTACGGTGGCCTATAAAAATCATGTTGAGAAAGTTAGGCCACACTTTCCAGGACTCGTTGATCTTCAAACAGACACATTTCTATCCCTTCTCAGGGAGCTCTTTGCTCCCATTGAAAAAAAAAACACCACCTGTTAATCCTTTCATCAATTACACATGGAGTTCGTGAACCCCACGAAAATCTTCTCTTATTTTCAGACCCCATTTAATCTGAAAATACCTGTCTGGACTCTCTTCAAATCACACACTGCCTGATTCTCACAGCTCAAAGCTCGCCAGGGATTCCCCGAAAAAATAATGGAAAGAATTTTTTTGCAGGCGGAGCACTTTTTCCTGGAACCTTCTCTTTGTTCTATTTTTGCTTGTTTTTTTTCAAATTCAACAGATGGTCTCTTTTTTCCCCGTTAATCACATTTTCACAACTGTTCCTTGTCTATTGACGCAAGAAGGGTTCTGGTTTAAAAAGAGCAGATTTTTCAAAATAAAATCAGACCTGCTAGATTTCTTTGTTTTGATTGGATTGAAAATATTTTAAATCTTAAAAAATGACGTCATCTACTTTGCTTCTCATTTTGACTGCTTCTGTGGTTCTATTCGCATTTGAGGATCCACAGTGTACCAGATGGCAGAAGAATCTGTCCACGTTGTGTCTATCGGTGGGTTCTAAAGTTCTGAAGTAGAGGGATGTTTCGTGAAGTGAACTTCTAGTTTAGACTTTAGGGTATTGGAAATTCTTAGAAAATTAGCCTGTGTGTAAGCTAGCTTAATTGCTTAAGGTATTACGATCCTAAATACTTTAGAGTTTGTTCACTGTGCTATAAACTCTTTTCAGAGCTACAGTTTTTTTTGGATTACTGTAATACATGTGATCTACTTTCAAGGGATTGCTTAACTCGGCCACTATTGAAATGTTATTTTGATATACTGTATCACCAGTGTCCTAATCTCCATTTCAGGTACTTTCTTACTGTTCCAGATAAACTTTACCTATCGAACGAATTTCAATAGCCACGCCCACCGTCGCCCTTGAAACGGCCGAGTTGAAGTTCTTTAATATGCGTCAAAACAGTTTGCAATCACCGTGGCGCGATATTGCGAACCGGACGAATGGGCGGGTGACGGGCGGCCCGTTATAATGTCGGGCGACGGACGTTTTTGGATGGCCCGCCCGAGATGGAAAGCTTAGTTACAAATATTGTTCGTGATACTTGAATGGTAAAACTCAAATTATAACCAAATAACATATTAAACGCAGATCTAGCAGTGACTTCTTAAACTAAAAAGGTAATTGATCAAATACTAATCTAACTAAATTGTTTCCTAGTTTAACCCTTAGCCTCACGCGTTCGGTTTTTTGTTCAGAATGCTACCTGTTTGTGTCAACTGCCTATCAACACCAACGGACCCCTGACCTTAATACTCCTCTGACCCGTCTCTAATTTTCAGAAAACTTCTGGATACTTCAGAAAGTTCCATGAGCACTCTTTTGATAATCCAGCAGTAATGTCACATTTCAATACAACATCCGAAGAGATCATTGTTCGTTATCATTCTCCAACTTTATAAAAATCGCTAGTTTCAGAAGTGCTTCCATGACCTTCCGTGTCCTACCAGTCGAGACATCAAAATGGGAAATCGAATCGGAGCCTATCGAGACACCATGTTCGCCTTGACAGATTCCTTTGTGAAATGTGCCAAGACTTTGGAGTCTCACAACTCTGACTGTTATTATTCATGGGACCCGTTTATGGCCGTCGATGTAGATGGGCGCATTTTGGAGAATTTCGATAATCGAGATGTCTGTAAAGCTTATTTCGGACCAATGGATTGTATGAGACACGAGATTGTGGAGTACTGTACCATGGACGCGTGGAAGAGTTTCAAAAAGGTATTGAGGTCGCGAATTCTTGTAAAAATAAAATTGCATTTACAGAAAGCCAAGGAGTTTGGTGAAAGGATCTATGGGTGTGACTTCCGTGGGATCTTCACTCTACCAACTCGTTATAATCGTTGAATGAACTGTTATATTTATTTTTTGAATCCGCTATAGTTTGTCTTGAAATGAATTAATTTTTTTTGAATGGTTTTACCATCAGCTAGTCATAATCTGCCCATAGCTACCCATGAGCTACTCATCAGCTACAAATTAGCTACCCATTCCCATCACAGTTACCCATCACAACGCTACTGTAATTGTTTCCTCTATGCCTAAAAGTCAATAAGATTTCCTCCTCTACATGGACTCAAGTTTTATGACCTTCCTTCCCAATGGCCCCCAGGTGGCCTCCCCACAAATGACGCAACACAGGGGACATATGACTTCTTCTCCCACCACACTTTTTCCCGGAAGAACAGAACGGTGTCACTACCACCCTGTTTGGACACATATCAGGTCGTAAATGCGATATAGTTCCTTTTGGAAGTCATTCATTCAGTCCACTCATTCTACTCTCGTCCTCGCTACTACTCAGTCGTCGTTATGCAACCTCTCACACCAGCCAGAAAGAATAGCTCATCGATTAAGCGCCCGGATTTGCAAGGTAAGCATTTTCTGTTTTTTTTTTGTTGAATCACATTCATCTAGATGACGTGGTAGTCTTAAAAAGCTAGGTATCTTATCGTTTTTTCAGGGCTCTACATCTGCGGATCATGCGGACAAAACTTTGTTCATGCCGCTTCTCTCAATCGCCACCGTCGTACTCGTCACAACTCCGAGCACCAATGCCTTCTCTGTCACAACCAGATGAAACCGGATGAGACTCTCCACCAGCACATGAAAGAGCTTCACAACCTCACGACTGTCTTCAATTGCTCCTGCTGTAACTTCGGGTTCGCCAAAAAGTCCGACTTGTTGGAGCATACCAAGGCCATGAACGAGACTGGAACTGTAGGAGATGCCAAGCCAGTTTCCACCACCAACAATCCGCCCGGATGGTTGTTGCAAAATGTTCTCCAGGGAAAACCATACGAAGTGCGCACCAAGAAAAGGTCCATGTCAGCCACAACGTCGTCGTCCTCCTCGTCGTCATCGTCTGCCACCCGTGAACCAACCCCAGAGGTGTATCAAGTTCCAGAGGAGTGTTCACAACAGTTGAACGACGCAGTTGATCTGGTTCTCAAGTCTGGAGTCTTTACTGGTGATCAATTAGTTCTTCCCGAGACCTGGGAGCTCATCTACAACATGGCAAAGTCCACGATGTCTTCTTAAAAGGTAAGATTTGAGTTTTATTGAGACTAAGGCTATGCGAAATCCGGCCGCGGCCAGCCATGACTACAGGGAGGTTGCCGCGGACCAATTAGTCGGTTCTTCCTAAAAGACGCTGAGCGACCCAGAAACTACTAGGGCCGCTAGTACCATATTCGAAATGCTGCGGCCGGCCGTGGCACAACCTTGATCAAGACTGATTTCAACTGATGATTTTTCAGGTTCCATCCCAAGATGGCCAACACTACATTCTTCGACGAATCGCTCAAGATTCTCCTACATCAACTTCATCTAACTTTTATATTTTACCCAGTTTTCAAGTTTTCTTCCCAACATATCTTTTATCTCTCGAAATCCAGTGATCTCACTGATAATACTTTTTTTAAAGCGATCTCTTAACTTTCCCATGTTTGAAAATCATCACATTTTATTTCAAGTAAAAATCATATTGTGAATAAAAATATTTTTCATTAAAAATCTCATCAAATAGTTCCATAAAAATCACACTGCTTCACTGCATCGTTGAGCTCCAAGAAGTACTGAAAATCCAGATTATACCCATCATGTCAAATTGGATCTTACATTTTTGAATTTCTGCCAATCTCGAGAACCACAAGTATCCACAATCTCTTGTTTCAAGCAGTTGTTCCGTCCAAAGAATTGGCCGCAGACACCTTCCACATCATTTCCTTCTCTCAAATCTTTATCATTTTGAAATGGATTCCACGAGGCGTAGCACTCCGATTCCTCTTGATCCCATTGCTCATCGCAATCCGTCATTTCAGTTGATAAGAAGTTCATGATTGAGCAAAAGCTTTGTATCGCGTTGAGCCCTTTTGTAGCCTGCTCATCTTGAATGCAATGACCGATTTCATCTATACAATTATTGTTTGATTTGCACGATCTTCGGAACTCGCTCATTTTTTCTGAATCAGACTCGTCAAGTTTGTCGAATGTTCCAGCGAATTCGGAGGCGCGCTGAAATGACCTTTTTCAACATTCTTATTGATTCGGACTCACTAATCTACACGAGATTGCTTGAAAGCTATCTGCAATTGAGCAATCCTTTTCGGCAAATGCAAATGAGGTTATGAAGATGGAAATAAGCAATACTATCATCTTCTGAAACAACAAAACTACCTGAAAACCTGTCAATTTTGAGCTCATTTTTCTCAGCTCCCATGCAAGATACCGAAGTTTTATCAACTGACAAAACACTTGAGTTATCATGATAAACAATTCATCAGTTGACACTTTTTTTATATCTTTGACAGGAATTGACAAACATTGACTCAAGGTTAATAGTTATGGGGACTTCTACTACAGGTTTTTTGAAGCCTGAAAAATTATCGAAAAGAAAAATCAAAGCAACAAAAAAATGAAATGGATGTGTAAACCTTTTAACCAACACTCACCAATTGTTCGAAACTCATCAAGATGTGTCAGATGACATGTGGCTATGAAGTTCTGTGGGTTTTCTATTTTTTTTTTCTTGAAAAAAATGCGGAAAAGTATGTCGCAAATGGAAAATAGCAGCTCGATGCTAAATTTATTAACCAAACCGTAAAATTGATGATATAAGATAAGCTGGACTGATGAACTGGGCAGGTGAACTGGTTAATAGAAAAAGTGGAAAATGTATCAATGCTCAGCAGGAGAAAAGAATGAACAACGACAAAAGAATATCAAGAGATAAGAATGTAGCAGAGCGGCTAGCTGAAGCTGGCAAAATTCCAAAATTTTCGAACCATTCGCATTTGATTCCTGTGGCTTCCCAACGCGTCTGGAATCAGTTCACTTATTACTGAGTACGAATTGAGTTCCACAGAACTGAACATCTCAAGATTGGACCCTAACTTTCAACTTTGAGCCAATTTATTTTGGTTCTTGTAAAATATATCAACAATTTGTCAACTGATAAATTGTTCATCATAATATCAAAAACATTTTATTAGTTGACACATTTTTAATATCTCGTATAGGAGCCGAGATAAAGGAGCTCAACCACTCACCATCATTCTCTCCGCTAATTCAAAATCACGTTTCGAGTAGGCAATGGCTTTCTTGAACAGATGATATCCAAAATCACAGCAGTCGTTGACAGTTTTCTCCTGGTACTCCAGGAGGCTTATATCGATGTTGGAGCAGTTTTTGAGGGCGGAGATGCAGGTTCCAAGGATACCACAGGTGCTTCGGTGGATCAGAAGATCCGAACGACTGCCCAGATTCATTTTCATGTAGGATTCTTGGAAATCATTGAAACGCTGAAATTATTTTATCTGCTAGGATAGTCAAAAAGTCATTTTTGCTCTATTGATAATATATAGGGAGTTTTGGGATCATTATAGTTTTTTGACGCATCCTCGAGACAATTTTTGCTGCTTTCGTTGACATATGCTCAGAAGAATATCTTAATAATCGTCTGACCTAGAATACACTTAAATATAAGGCTTCCATTCGGTTCAGCGAACCAACCGACCACCAACCGAGGTGTCCTCACGTCAGTGTTCCCGAAATCGAATCAAAACTTACGCGATCAAACGAATCAGCAACGGCTGAGCACTCGGTTCAGCGAACCAACCGACCACCAACCGAGGTGTCCTCACGTCAGTGTTCCCGAAATCGAATCAAAACTTACGCGATCAAACGAATCAGCAACGGCTGAGCACTCGGAACGATGCTGCATATAATTCTCAGCTTGTGTAGCCAATGGAATCACTACGTAGACAGATAAGCCGATAGCAACCGACGCGAATAAACTGGTGTAGAATAGTTGTTTGAGAAAAGTACACATTTTCTGGAAAATTCGAAGTTAGGCGGTGTTGAAGCAAAATGAGAACGCTCAAACAGAAATGGAGAACCCATTTGCCACAGAGAGCAAATATCTGCGAGTGAGCCCATCCCCCTATTCAACAGTATCTTTTAAAGTAATGATCTGCCGGAGCCGGTGCCTGGTACTGAATAACAGATGGGGGAGGACAGAGAGATCGTTAAATCGAAAGGTCGTGATGGACTTTATCTGCTAAAAAGGTTGAACTCTGATGAGAAGAGTGCGCAGATGTTGAAAAAGAAATTCGAGTGAAGTATGATGAAATGAACATCTGGAACCTTAGAAAGACCAAACTTACAATAACGCTTACAGTAACCTGAATTCAAAAAGAATGTTTTTATACAGGTAAATGAAAAAAAGGAAAAAATCAAGTCAGGTAGCAATTCTAAAGCCAGTGAAAAAATTGGACACCAATGAGAAAAGAAAACAAAATATGATCAAAGGAAACATAACACTCAACTTTGAACCTATATATCTTATTTCCTGTCGAAGATATCAAAAAGTGATAACTGACTAAATTTTGCTGATATTGTGATGAACATTTTATCAGTTAAGCACTTTTTGATATATTTTACAAGAACCGAGATAATTTGGCTCAAAGTTAACAGTTGGAAGTTTTGGAGTGTTTAAGGTAAGACAGACGCTTCAGTCGAATTGGAAGAGGGACACTCTGCATTTGGATATGTCCATGGCATTTTCCTGAAAAAAAGTTTTCTTGTGATTAAAAAAAACTACCAGAAAACCTGTAATAAAAGGGCCCCTATTGTCACGTTTAAGCTAATTTATCTTGGCTCCTAGTTCAAAGTAATATCTTTTTACCGCAAAGAACACCTCCCAGCAGATCTTCGATACTTCATGTTTAATGGCAGCGGCATCCACAATGTCACAGCAAACTTGGAACGCCCATGGAATATCATCATCCGATGTACGACATCTGGTTGGCTCGACTCCAGTTTCATTGAAGCAGTTCTCCAGAGATCTACACATGCCTTGAAGCTTAACAACATCCGGCTTGTAGTCCAAGCTATCCAGGGAGCCGATCGTGGTTCCGAACTTGACCAATCCCTGAAATAGTTTCTTCAAATTTGAAAGGTAAACTTAGAACTCACAGGCTCACACTTATGAAACGCGTTTCTGGCGGCCTTTTTTACTGGCTTCTGAAGTCCCAGTGCCTGGGACAATGGGCCCTGGGTTTGAGTTTCTGGGGTAGTCATAAACATAAGACCTGTGCTATCCAAAACAATGAAGAGACAGATGATGAAAACTGCTCCAGCCAAAATCGAACCAGCAATCGCGAATTGATTGCGCTTAGATACCATCTGGAAGTTTGTGTTGAGGTTAAGAGATCTAAGATAAGAGTGTTTATAAAGCTTCTAGCCTAGATCCAACTATAAAAGTTAAAGAATAGAGATCCGGCAGTAAGATAAACGGTAATTTGAAACCAAAAGAATTTTGAGGAGAGAACCGATAAAAGAAGAATGGAATGAGAAAGTCTTTTAGATGACAGTTTCTGAAAATGTGGGCGGCGCCTCTTTTATCCAAAACCAGCTGGAACATAAGAGGTCAGTCATAAAATCACATCATGAAACATCGAGAGGTTGGGGTCACCACCTCAAAGTGCAAATGTGTGTCCTTTTAGACAAATTCGAAATGAGCCATCGGTTTTTTTACAGGCATGGGAAAGTTTAAATTTTTGAGAAAGGCACGGTCTACGTAACGGTTACATTGAAGATTTATCTCGATGCTTCCATCTACAAAAACTTCTAATAGAAGAACATTCTATCTCTTCACTTTGAGTCAATTTTTCTCGGTTTCTGTCAATGATATCAAAAAGTTGTCAACTGATAAATTGTTTATCATAACATCACAAACATTTTATCAGTTGACATATTTTTGGTATCTTCAATAGGAGCTGAGATATTTTAGCTCTAACTTGACGATATGAGGGCCCTTCTATTACAGGTTTTACGGTAATCGAAGATCACATGTGTTTATCATAAGTCAAAAAATATGATTATTTTAACAGCTACACAATTTTTGATCTACTCAAAAATTAGTACTGTATTTCTAGTACTGTACTGAAAATAATCTCAACAAGAAATTTATTCATTAAAAGTATCTAACAGCTAGCCTGGAACATAAGGGGATACAGTGGAACAATGGATATAGATCTGTCTGGAAATGTCTTGAAAGAAGCAGAAGAGATAACAGAAAGAAGGGAGGATGAAAAGAGCGAGACACAGAATTAGGACAGACAGAATTAGGACAGATAAAACAAAAGAAGAAGTTATTCCAGACAGAAGAAAGTGAAAGTGGTAGACAGGAGTAGCAGCAGAGACTTGAAAATCAAGGTCGTCTAAGAGAAGTCCGTAGTTTCCCGCATCACATTTGCTTCTCGTCCTCGCCAGAAGGAGGAAAATAATCTTGGACGTATTCTGATTCTGGCTCGGCGCACCACTCTAATTCATCTTTTGCGACTTCAGGCAGATCAATCAATTGCCCTTTGACCCCAAATTTACCAGTATTGCACTTCTCAATGCCGGGGTACTTGACTTGCTGGAAATTCTTAAATAGGGATTTGAAAATCTTCGAAAAGTAGATTTACCTCTTCCGAATTCTTGAACCAATCAGCGGCCGCGTCCAAAACCTCACAGCACATCTCCAACTCCATGTGCTTCACCCCGAAATCCGGCAAATCGAAATTGCCATTTCCACGAAACGCTCCAGAAGATGTGAAGCATTTCTTGAGTCCGCTACAGTGTTCCTGAGCGGAGAGAAACTCTGTACGGCTGTCAGCCTCGATGTGCTTCATTCTGACAATGAACAACATAAGCATCTGAAAGTTTAGGGTGAAAATTGAATCTGAAGACTTTTGAACACACCAGGCGACATGTCGAAGACTGCTTATCGTCGGGAAGTGCCTGGTTTAGAATTTGCTCCTGTGCTGCGAACTCATTCTGATCTTCCTGGATAGAATGAAAATGAACGTAGAAGTAAATTCCAAGAAGAAGGAGACCGAAGATTCCGCAAATGATAAGGATGGGCTGGTGAGTATGCCGGGGCATTGTTCCCTGGAAAACTATGAAATTGATATGATAGCTGTCTGAGAAAAACAAGGTTACAGAGTAGTTTATGCGAAGTGTATACGGTAGGTATCTCGAAGCGGGAAAGCTAAATAGCATATATTAGTAGAAAAAACTACGGTAAACATATTCGTAGAAAAAACACATGACATATGTTTACGCATTCTACCGAGGCAGGTGTCGAAATCCTTGTGCAACTTGTTGTTGGTAGCGAAGAGGGCGGAGTTTAGTCTAATGGGGAGAGATAGAGGAGAACAATAAATTCAAATTCTCAAAAAAGTTCATTAACAGAGCGAATAAAAAGTGTTCATTTAAACCAATTCAGTATTAATTGGATGAGGAGTAAATGGGTTACTGTAAAGGTTGAGAATGGGTGTGAGAGGCGGGGGAGAAACCAAATGAGCATGGTATTTTAGAAACGATCATCAAATCCAATACTTAAAACTGGTCCACTGAAAAGCTACAAGAACATTGCACCGGCCCACATCCTTGTAATTTTCGAGTTTCTGAAAAGCTTGATTTTTCAAAACATATTCAGGATTATGTTATTAGCGATAGTAGCCAAACTCACCTCAAATTTTCTTGCCTTTCGTTCTTTTTTAGCCTGTTGTTGGATCACGTTAACCAGTTGGTCCAATGCACCGCAACAATCATTACTCCCAATAATTCTTCATAACATCCGTTCATTTCGTGACACATTTTTTGAAGGAGCTCCACTTTTTCCAGTGAGTCAAACTCAATGGACTGCATTGTATCCAAAAACTTCAGGAGGAGCTGATAGACGAACAATGGAATAAAACTCGAAACCGTCCACCTCAATTATCTCGATTATTGTGAAAGATATCAAAATTTTGCAAGCTGATAAAATAATATCACCAATATTTTGTCAGAAGAAAAAATTTTGATATCTTTCACATGAATAGAGATAATTGAGCTTAAATGTGACGGAGGAAGTACGGTATCCAACTTACTGGTTCACAATTAGGTTCAATGGCTGGAACCGGAGAATGAGGAGCCATGAAGCTGATGAAGAGAGCAGCTTTGAGGACACGCCAGACCATCATCTGATTGTGAAATGGGAACTAGGAGAGATGTGATGAAAGATGAAAAGTAAAAAAGAAGACCATTTGTAAAAGATGAAAAAATTAGAAATAAAAGGCTGCTGTTGATGAGTTTGAATTTTCGAATAGGCAATATCAGCGATAATATTGTTAAACTTACCGTTAAGGATCTAATAGAACGGCACCCCTGAATGTTTTGCGGAATACTTTTAATAATTAGTTCTTTTATTGAAAATGTGCCTGTGAGAGGGCGCAAAGGAGAATATCAATTCTGGGGGTAACATATGCGGACAAACGTAAGCGATGGATAAATGACAGAGAACAACACAGACAAAATAATAGTCAGCTCTTAAGTTGAGATTTTTTAACAATAAAAACAATCAGAACGGTGTAAAAATGCAATTTACATTGTACGGCTGAAAATCTTACGGTAAGCGAAGCTTAGGCCCGGTAACAACATTTTTGAAGCGCATTCTCAAAAAATTGAAAAAATAGTCTAGAAAATGAATACGGAAAATTTCTTAATACAAAAAAATTCTTTAAAGATTTCGCCACCGGACCTATGCTTCGCTCACCATAAGATTTTGGACCACAACGTTCATTAAAATTAAACCAGAGTAATAAAAACGAGATAAATTAAATCCAGAGGTGAGTATAAATATTTCAGAAGACCCCATTGAAATTTCATGATCCACTGGCTGCCAAAAGCTGTCACATTTACTGACTCGACATGATTATAGCTCACTTTCTGTAAAATTTGTATTATTTACGAATTGTCTTTTGAGAGGGCTTACCTCAAGAATTTGCTCTCAATTTTTGTTATGCTTGTTTGAGCCAGTGACCCATTGTGTGGCCTGGTCGAAAACAATACAGCACTTTATAATTTCCTGCTGAACGGCATTCAGTTTCCGAAGATGTCCTTGCTGGAAGCATTTATCGAGAAGATAGCAACGTTCATGAAGTAGTTTTAAGTTTTGTCCCATTGGTAGGAGAGGGGAGGTGATACCATGTAGAAATTTTCGGAGATCCTGAAAAAGTGTGTTAACATGAAAAGAAATATGTTATGGTACGAAGATGACCTTTTCACATCTTTTTGTGTTCTTTTTCTTTGGTGATTCCGATAAGCTAAATTTACCTCCCTTCACTTGATGCAAATGGAAAACTGCAACAAGGAGCAAAGTGCCGAATGTCCAAGCGAGCAAATATCTAATAACATTGGCAGGTATCATCTGAAGTAACTTTTTGTAACAACAGTTAAAAAACGTACAAGGTGTCGGTTAATAAAATCACCAGACAAGCTATTGAACAAATTAGAGTTATGAAAGAGACCGTTCTCTTTAATCGTAACCGACGGTTTTTCTTCCACAATTCTGATTTGTTTCAACCATGATAAAACACTTTCATATACTTGAAACGGCTATGTCACCCGAATATTACCGTAGTCCTCGTTTCTGAAACATCTGCTGGGACAGTCAGATGACGCGGAATGGTACAAAAAAAGCGCACAGGTGTTAGTCTTCTGGGTCTCTTTTTTCTCTTTCTTCCATAAGTGCGACAACTTGAAAAACAAAGTTGTTATTGTCCAATCCGATCGTAAACATCTGTGAATGGGAAGGGAGGGTAGGGGTACGGTAGCATCTGGAGTCTTTGGCATTGTGATGCGTAGGAAGTTTTGGGGAAAGGATGGGGACCGATGACGGTGTATGAGTTGGGAAATCTGTGAAATTTAGAAGTTTCTAGGTTGAATGGAAGTCTTCTGTCATGAGGGCTATATGGGGGAAGACGGGGATTGATGAATTTAAGGTTCCCCTTTCTCGCAAACGAGGAATATGTAGATACCAGCAAGCTAGTGCGCCTTCGGCGTGATTCAATCTAGTTTGTCATTGATTTGTCGCTCCGCTCCTCATTTTTTCTTGAAGTGTCACGTCAATTTGTATTAGTTTTTCAAGTTTTTCAAAAGTCCTGACATGAGGACCAACAGACTCGTGTAGAGTTTTATATATAAGAAAGGTTTTTGAGGTTCCGGTCAATCAGATGAATACGAATTTATTTTTGAGAAAAGAACGGAAAATACTAAAAAATATATTTGTTTCTTAAGCGGGAGTAACATTTCATATATAAAGAAGAAACAGGAGAAACCAATTTTTAAGTTTCAAGCAAACATTTTCTTCAAGTTGCATTGCTTCAGGACCTCCTCGTCGAGTTTGATAAAGTGCTGAAAATGTATTTTTGTTTACCGTAACAGTTTCAAAAGGAAGAACTCACATCACGGAGTAATTCCCAATATCTTTGACCACATTGAGCAACAATCTCCTTCTTCATACATTGGTCCTTTCCAAAGAAATTCATTCTTACAATTTTCCTCAACCTTCTTCTTATCCTTCAAATCTTTTTCGCCAAGGAACGGATTCCAATCTTTCAAACAAGTAGACTTTGCTTTTTGTAATTTATCTCCACATTTATTGAAATCACCATTTACGTTTTGATAACTACGCAGTAGGTCTTCGCCGTGTCTAATGCCGCCATGAAGTCCTTATTTTGCAATCCGTTGCATATGTTTTCAGAGCAATCGTCGACAGAATCACACGCTTCCTTGAACTCATTCCGCTTATCCTGATCGTTTGACTGGCTTTGGAATTCAGTGGCTTTGGTTCCAAACTCTTTCATTACCTGAAAACAATTTCGAAAAAAGATGAGTGATGCAATTAAGCAGAGCTGAAACTGAATGACTTGAAATTAATGATCAAACACCTAACTTGGAAAAAAACCCTAATAAATTCAACTCACATTTGCACAGGACAATGCAAAGTATAGTAGAGCATTGTTTTGGTGCTGGAAGAGTCAAAGCAGCTCCATTAAATCCACCAAAGATCGCGACACCAATGAGGACAAGATTGAGAAAATTAAGCATTTTCTGAAAGTGGTAAGAATACTTTGATAGAAGTAAAATCAAGTATACAAAGAAACTCTTTGGTAGAAATCTATCAATTGACAGAGGAGTTTTAACAAAATGTTTTGAAGCGAGGCGTAACCTCACTATCATGGCGGCGCCAACTGATACCATTAGATTCGTGACTCGGTCAAGTTTTAGTTGACAGCAACTGTTCCTTTGGAACATTTGGTTGGTGTGTTTTTATCTAAACGACCGGTCAAAAATCAAAAATCTGGAAATCGAAAAATATCGGGAAAAGACAGATTACATAATTTTTTTTCAAGAAAGTCCAAGATATAATGTTAAATTCTCGTTAATTTTTCGCCAGTTTCCATTAATTTTGGTCAACATATTTTGTTGTTTTTTTTAGGTTGTTGACACATTACCCAGCTTTGAGGGATATTGATTCAGTTTTGAATTTCGGACAGAACGGATTTTTCTTCCATAATTCTGATTTTCTCAGATCATATTAATACAACTTCAATGTTTTAAATCTCATTGTCAGCTGGTAGTACGGTAGACCTCGTTTCTGAAAAATCTGCCGAGAGAGAAACAGTGAATGGCAAGGAAGGGGTAGGGGTACGGTAGCATCTGGATTCCCGCTTTGCTAAGCTCAAGGAGTTTAAGGAAATAGTTGGGAGCCGATGATGGGCCGTGTAAAAGTCGCCCATGAAGTATATGTGAAGATGGGGATTAATGAATTTATGTTCTCCCATCTCGCAAACGGGAATCATTTGGGGCGGGAGCAATGTGCATGCTCCGGTTAATGAAATGAAGAAAATTTTATTGTTGGAAAAAGTTAAAATTTCAAACACGGAAAATACAAACAATAAGAAATCTATCATGAAAAAGAAATAGAAGAAATGCATTTTTAAGTTTCAAGTAAACATTTTCTTCAAGTTGCATTGCTTCATGATATCCTCATCGATTTTGATGAAGTGCTGAAAATGCAATTTTTGTTTTCCATAACCGTTTAAGAAACTCACATCGCGGAATGATTCCCAATCTTTTTGGCCACACTGAGCCGAAATCTCTTTCTTCATACACTGATCCTTCCCGAAGAAATTTTTACAGTTTTCTTCAATCTTCTTCTTATCTTTCAAATCGTCTTCGTCAAGGAACGGATCCCAATTATCAAAACAAGTAGACTTTGCTGCATCCAATTTATCTCCACATTTCTTGAAATCTACGTTTACGTAGTTAATGACTCCACAGTAGGTCTTCGCCATGTTGAACGCTGTCGTGATTTCCTCATCTTCGAGGAATGGTTTGCACATATTCTTAAAACAATTGTCGAGTGAACCGCACGACTTTTTGAACTCCTTCAGCTCACCCTGATCGTTGGCATCAAGTTGATTGACTTTGGATCCAAACTCTCTCATTTGCTAAAAACAATTAGCATGTAGAATATGCTTGATGCAATTAGGCCGAGCTAATACTCAATGACTTAAAAAATAATGCTATAACACCAAACTTTGGAAACCCCACACAATTTCATTCAACTCACATTTGCACAGGACATTGCGAAGTATATGTCTTGAAGAGCGCACTCTTTTGCTGCTGGAAGAGCCGAAGCTACATGAGCTCCGCCAATGATTGCGACTCCAATAAGGACAAGATTGAGAAAATTGCTCATTTTCTGAAAGAATTAAAGGAACTTTAATTGAAGTAAAATCAATAATAAGTAGAAACTCTTTGAAAGAAATCTCTCAATTGACGGAGGAGTTATAACAAAATGCTTTTGAAGCGAGGCGGAACCTCACTATTAGAGCGGCGCCAACTGATACCATTAGATTCGTGACTCGGTCAAGTTTTAGATGACAGCAACTGTTCCTTTGAAACATTTGGTTGGTGTGTTTTTATCTAAACGACCGGTCAAAAATCAAAAAAGATTGGAATCGGAAACAACATTGTCAGGCTTCCATTCGGTCAGGAAATTTAGCCGACCGACCAACCGATTGCCGATCGACCTGACCGAATTTGTGCATTTGGGCGTTAACATAACAGAGAGTGTTTGCCTACTGAGCATTCCATTCAACGGCACACTATTCATTGAATATATCGTTCATCGTAAAGCTGATCGATCGGTCGACTGTCAGTCAGCCGGACTGGCAGTCGGTCAGCGGTCGGCGGTCGGAAGCCTCCTACCATCGAACCAAACGAAAGTAAAAAATTACGTAATTTCCTTCTGTAAAAAGTCCAACATAAACACACAAAGCAAGCAAAAGCGGACAACAACTTTTCTGTCTATAATTATGATTTTCTTTCACATCATAATTTTTTTTCTCGCTCCAACTTTATGCCTCCGCCTGATTTTATTTAACTAGACTATTTTTTGATGAACCCCATTTCATACTCTTGCTTATTGCTCACTTATATTATTCCCAGTGTTATATTGCAATGTGGTACGGTTCCTAAATACATTCGCACAGAAAATTCCTTTTCAGAGCCAGCCTGCGAGTTCAAGCACATTTTCGTTTCATCCGATACAATAGAAGTGTACCCATCTTCTTGTGAAACTGTATGTGGAGATTTGGTCTTTGATGCGAACACAGATTTATCAGAATCAGAACTGACTGAGTATTTTCGTAATCTAAAATTTTTGAATGGAAGTTTAAGAGTGGAGATGACCAATTTCAAGTCGCTAGATTTCTTATCTTCTCTGGAATATTTTCAGTGCCCAGATTGTAAATTTAGAAAATACAAGAGCTCGGATAGACATTTTAATTTATTTTCAGTCGGGATGCTGATAACTCGAAATTCTAAACTTACAAATTTAGATGTCGTTGAAAATTGGAAAACCGACACTAGATGTGTTTGGCACATTCAGGAAAATGTCAAACTAAATGCCGAGAAGTTATGCAGGAATATTTCAAGTAGTCGTGGTTACGAATTAGACTTCTATGGGAATTTGAAGGATTGTGGTAAGTTTTTCTTTCCCAGTATATAAGTCCCATTATTCTTCAAGGTTGCCATTTGGTCCATATCGATTCATTTTCAATTCCATATTATCCAAAATGTACATCTGTAACAGGAGGTCTTAGATTCACAAACATCAACAATAATACAAAAATGGGTGCTGTGAACTTTTTGAAAACTGTGGATGGACCAATGGAAATCTATGATACTCTTATGACTAATTTATCTTGTTTCCGGAATTTAGAGACAATTCATGGAGGTTTTTTGAAAATTCACGATAATCCAAATCTAAATTATTTGAATTGGGGAGGATTTACTGTAAGTCACATGATACCGTAAAACCTGTAATAGGAGGGCTCCTAATTTGGAGCCATTTTTCTCGATTCCTGTGAAAGATGGTTGACTACTTTTTGTATCTTGGAGTCAAAGACTTTGACGAAAATCAAGGCACATTTGCTCAAAGTGAAAATTTAGGGGCCATTTTCTATTACAGGTTTTACGGTATATAAGATTTTTGAATTATTCAAACGAGATTTCAGAAAATTGTTCCTGATAATTTCACTGTGCAAATTTCCAACAACCACCCTGAGTTCTGCCTTTTTGCTAGGGAACTGCAAACTTTTGCAGAAGCAAATGCAAATATATCTGAAGTAGATGCAAAAATTTGCCATGAAATTCTAAGAAGAGATATGGAAATCACATGTGATACTAATACTTTTGATTTGTTACCCGGGAATTGTATTCATATTTTGGGAGATGTTATAGTCCATTCTGAAGCTGAAAACACTAACATGCTATGGAAGCTGGAAACGGTCACCAATATTTTTGGATCTCTTACTATTCAGAAAACTGAAAATATCACAAATTTGAAGTTTCTGAAGAGTCTGGAACGAATAGCAAGACTTAAGAAAGGTTATATTTCTATCAAAACCTGTCATAAGCGAACCCCCACACTGTCATTTTTGAGCCAATTTATCTTCGTTTTTAGGTATCAAAAATGTGTCAACTGGTAAAACATTTCTGATATTATGATAAATATTTTATCAGTTATCAACTTTTTGATATCTTGCATAGCAACCAAGATTAATTCGCATAGCAACCAAGATTAAAAATCCAACATGGCAGTGTGGGGGCCCTTCTATTACAGGTTTTACGGTATCTGGCTTTTCTTATTTTCAGATCATCCTCCACTTCTCCGAATTCTTTTCAACAAATCTCTCAAAAACATTTCCTTGCCAAATATGAAAGTGAGATTCATAAATCCAAAAATTAAATGAAATCTTTTTAATTTTCAGAATCCACCGTATTCTCCAAAACATGATCGTCTCATCGAGATAAGTGGAAATTCGTTGGAAATATTCAAGACACCAGATGACTGTGTTTCGTTCCAAAATTTTACAAAATCAGTGGTATTATACAATGGAAGGAATTGCAGTAAATGATGTGAAATCATTTTTTGAGATAATCTCGTTTTCAGCTGAAATTGGATTTTCCGAATTGCCTGGAAATCTTGGGCGGTCTGCAAAATGGTCTGCATTTTTGACATGTTTATTATTCTCATTTTGATTCCTTTTTCGAAACTTCGTGATGGCGCGTCCAAAGNTCCCAAATCTGGGATTTCTGGGCCCAAAAATCCCAAATTTTGGAACTTTGGACACGCCATCACGAAGTTTCGAAAAAGGAATCCAAATGAGAATAATAAACATGTCAAAAATGCAGACCATTTTGCAGACCGCCCAAGATTTCCAGGCAATTCGGAAAATCCAATTTCAGCTGAAAACGAGATTATCTCAAAAAATGATTTCACATCATTTACTGCAATTCCTTCCATTGTATAATACCA